ACTGAAGTGTTAACAGCCAGGACTGGAATGAAGATTGGTGAGTCAAGAGGGCTGTATCTTGTTAACTTCATATCTAAATTGTTTCCACATTTATTTTTGCTTTGAACAGTATCTCTCAAGTTGCACCTATGTGGGAACATTACCCTGGTGTATTTTGTTCATGCCATATGCAGTGTGTTCACATGCTTTTGTAACAGCACATTTCCAGTCAATTACAGGATCAATGTAGCTCTGCCTTGTTTTGGATCAGTGCTCCTCATTCAGAGCAGAGATCCTCTAACACACCTTTTGCTTGCTTTCTTGAGCCTGTGAAGTCTCTCTAAGTCTCAGATGTTGAAACCAAAAGTGTTCTGAGGTTGAAACTTTGAAACTTTAAAACTTTAAAATCCAGGAAGTTCACAGTTTCTGGTGACTTGACAGTACGTGATGAATGCATACAGGAAAAAAACAGCAGGATGACCAGGACGTCCCCCTGTGCTCACATACCAAGTTGATTACATACCTAATGCTCTGACATTGTGCAATTTTCACATTGTCCTGCAAAGTGAACCAAGATTTCTCATACTTTTAGGCTGTGGTTTGATGATACAGTGTCTTGAGGAGAAACCCTCTCTTACAGAACCCTTTCACCTTGCTGACATTCTTTCCCATTCCCACACCCCAAGGTGAACAGAATGCTGTGGTCTAACAAGTTTGGCCAAGCAGTCCTGCTTTAGCTGTCAGAGCTTCATTCTGCTGAATATGGTACTCCTGAAATCTCATGGAGATCCTTTGTACCATTTTAAAATACTCCTGTAGGCAGTGGTCTGAGCAAGTAATCTCTTCTGGTTTAACCTCTCTGCTAGTGAAATCCTTTATGCAATCCAGGAAGCAGTTTTCTGTAAGTTCATTGTATGTTCTGAGAAACTCAGAACAGCTTGGTCTGATCAGATTCCAATAATTGTCCACCCATATTCTACAGCCTGTGATTCACTCACCTATTCAACTGCTTTTGGTGTTGTTGGTTAAAATTGTTTGAACGCCACAGCAATAAAAAAAGGGGGGGGCAGGGGTGGGAAGGGCTTAAATAAGACTGCTTTTCCAGTCAAGGGCTGGCAATGTGAAAGGTATGGATCAACCACAGCTAACTTGGTCTAAGGCAAGGCTGCCCTCCTCTTCACCCCATCCTCTGTGCTGGCACTGCTGCTTATCTAAACCTGCAAGGAGACAGCCAAGGGAGCAACACTGCGTGAAAACTACACAACTGTTTCTGTAGGGATAGACCACGGACTCATGCTGAACTGCTTGCCAGGGCAGAAAGGAAGAGGTCCTCCTTCTCCTTACCCTCCTGCCCACCTCTGTTCCTTCCCCCTTCCCTGCCTGGGGCCACGAATCTGCTCCTCTCCTTGCTCTGGCCCTGACACTCACTGGGCCCTTCTCTGAGCTGATTAAACTCACTCAGATGAAAGCAAGCTAGACACCTTGTTGCTGGTTTAGTTTGCTGCAGGGACAGTGAGTTAAATTGGCTCAGAGAGGGGTCTGGAAGGCACCAGCACAAGGCCAGCAGTAAAACCTGCCAGCAGAGAGAGAGGTGGTTGCATTTAGTGCTGTAGATGTAGCCTTGGTTTTCTGCTTGTTCAGGTTCTTGAACCAGCTTGGGTGGGCAATAAACCAGACCAATGCCACTGTAAGAGTGGGGACAAGCTGTAAGGGCAACCAGGGCATCAGTCATGCCAATTTAATCACCTTAAAACTGCTGCAGAATGGCAGGCGGAGGGCTGACTCACCGTGTTGTGGGGAGGAGCAGGTGACCAGGTTTGCAGAATAGGGAACAGGAGTAGGCTGTATTGCTGCCAAGGACAATACACCCTCAAGATGGCTCATTGAAGAGAAGTCTACAGTCACATGCCATGATATCCTTAGCATCTGCAGTAAATGCTGGCAGCTGCAAAGCCTGAAGGGCCAACTTTGCTAAACACACATTTTGCTTTTTATGACTCAGACCCAGCAAGAGGCAAAATGCGGTGACATGTCTTAGGGCTGTTAGAAATGGAGCAACCAGCACACTCACAACAGAAAGAGGTTGAAGACCTGGTCCAAGCTCACTGTGACACAGAAATGACCACTACTGCTCTAGACAGATGACATCAAGAGCCACCCAAACTATGCCCAGGGCTGCCATGACAGCCGTCCATCCTCTTCCCCTGAAACAGCCAATGTCAGCCGGCAACATGACCCTGTTGTAACTGCTGGACCAGCCACAATGTCACAACGCCTTAATTTGGGAACTAGCGTAGAAATGGGAAAGGCACGACACCTTATCAGACACCTTACTGACTTTTTTGCTTCTGTTTTCCTTCTGCGGTATGACAATGAGTGGCATTTACAGCTTGACTCAGTTGTCTACCTTGGAGACGTGTGCTCTTTTGGGATGGCCTGGTGTGTGCCACGTGGACTTCAGCTCCTGCATGGTGGCTCTGGAGATCCTGGGGCACATCTGCCTACCCCACGAGTCTATTGCTTTCCCATGGACTTCTTACGAGAAGTCAGGGTCTCCACAGGGACTGCTTCCAGTCTGTAGGGGAACAGGAGGTCTTCCCATAGACTTATCTCCTGAATTAAACACTGTTTAAAAAATAATCCCCCATAACACGAGTTTAATCCTAGGCTTTTCCACAGAAATTGCACAAGTTCAGTGAGTCACTGTCTCACACACAGTGCTGTGGAAACAAATTCCATTGATAAACTGGCTGTGATTGAACACTGTAGGGCCAAGGCCCCCGTTGTTATTTGGACAGATGTCCCCTGTTTGTGCAGTGGGTTTCTGGCTCCAGATTTTGTTCAAGGTAGATACATAACACATCAGAGTTTCCCCTAGTTTCTGGGAATTTCCTGCTTTTCCCCACCTTCCACAGGAGCCATCAGAGCCGTAGGTCTGCTTCTCTCTGCAGCTTGTCTAAGGGCACCAACCCATGTCCCTAGTGCCTTCCAGGTCCAGCCCACAGTGAGCATGCTGCCAGCTCCGGTGGGAAAACTTCAGGGTTTTCCTCCCTTGTTATTTAAATCAAAGCCCACAGACATTTTTCCATAGCTACAAAACATGATTTTACTGTTTTCAGGCCTCAACACCCTCTTTTGTTAGAACAAAGCAGGTGAGTAACAGAAGCAGAACAAGTTAGTCCACTTGATAAACTAATCCGCAGATAAGACACTGAAGGACTTAGATCAGTGCAGGGGGAAACAATGAGAACTACCTGATGAATGGTATCAGGAAATATCTCCTCTTAAAATGCCTTGTGGCTTTTCTGCAGTGGCATCTCTGGTCAGCCTCACACTTGAAAATTGAGTACAGGCTCTAGAGGCGACTTTTTCTGGGCAGTAATAACGTGTTCAGCTAATTATACAAGTTCCTGTGTCTTGGTTTCCCTTTGAGACAGCAGCCTGGGCTGTAGTAGAAAGCAGGAGATCTAATTAGAAGATCTTTTCTTTGAATCACCTGAGAAGGTAAACGATATTATATCTCTGGGTGTCTTGTTTATTTTCTGAAATATATGCGATGGTAACTATTGTGCTGGGTGCATTTGCAAGAGAGGGTGTAATTATTTTGCAACATTTATGAAAAAGAGAAACTTACAGAAAAAGAAGGTCACGTAGATCACCTGTGTCCTGGGTTAAAGTGAGACCTTGCTATTTACCTCTAGGTATCTTCTGCACTTTAGAGCTAACTTTAAAGAACATTTTTCAACCTGAATGCTGCGGAGAAGAAGAGATTTGGTAGCAAACCTGGGTTTCTTCAGCTCTCTGGGGCTTTATAACTCAAACATAATTATTGCCTCCCAGGAGACAGTTTGTTTGAGAAATGATGAATATGTCCACTTATCTTCTGTTTTACCAGCTAAAGTTTGATGCAGATTTGTGACCATTGCAAAAGATGCATGCAAAACTGTAGCAGATGCTGTTTAACCTCATCATAAATTTTGCTTAATGACCATTTTTCCTTTCTATTATCTGTTTCATCAACCTGTTATCAATGAAATATAAGTTCTTTGTATAGATCAAGCTAATGTACCATATGCTGTGAGCATATGCTGTATATACAAAACTATCAGAAAACTTTGCTTTGTTAGTGTTTCTATTACTGTGTCATGTCACTATCTCAGGGACTTGTGTCACAGCTTATAACTTGGCAGTGTTTCCCCCTTGATCCGTTTTGATCCATCTTGGTCTTGGGATCACCCAGATCCATGGAAGTCTTTAGGTTGTCACAAGTGCATGATGTCTTCAAAATAGTCTTTCCTGTAGATGCTGGATGTAGAATACTGATGGACATGCCCAGGAAACTGAAGAAATATTTCCCTAGGTTTCCCCCCCACCCCCCCACCCCAATTCTGCCAGCCATTCATCTATTGGATAACAAAAGCCTGTAACAGTCTTTTTTTTAATGGATTTTGGGGTGGAGTGGGAAGATATTCTGAATCAGTGAGATGTCTTGCTTTCTGGTTATTCCTATATAGGAACATAAGAGCAGCCATACTGGATCAGCTCAAATGTCTAGCTAGCACAGTCTCCTGGTGTTTGGGTTTTTTTCCTCTGTTGCTACCCTAGAATATCTTAAAATTAATTTTCTTTTTTTAATTGCACCTCAGAATTCAGTTGACGTTTCTTGAGACCCCATTTCTAAGTGATAATAGTTCAGAGTCCATCACAGAATACATAATGTCAGGATGCTTTCTTTCTACCTTACACTTATCAGTGCTGAATTTCATGAATTTCATGACCCAGTCACTCAGTATCCTGCAATCCCTATGCAGATATTCACAGGCAGACTTCCCTTTTGTTACTCTCAATCATTTAAAGTTTTCCAGTGTTGTATCACTAATCACTGCCTTTTCCACATCACTTGAGAACACAGGGTAAGACACAGGCTTACACCCATGTTCCTGCGGAGCTCTGGTGATGACATCTCTCTATTGGAAAAGCAAATAATTTCTTCCTACTTTTGCCTCCTACCTTTTAACCAGGTCAGTATCCAGGTGAAGTCTCACTGCAGAACTACCTTTAGTGAGAAACCCTGACAAATCCCTGCTGGATACTCGTGTCAGTGACATCAACTATATTGCTTGGCTATAAGCTCATTGCTGTCCTCTATCCTTTCACAAGGTGAGACTACAGATCATGTTCATATTATAATTTTCTGTCACTGGCTCTTTTGAGGAGGAAAGTCACCATGAAGCTCCCTGTCTACTTGGGAGCACCAGCTCTCATATGCAATATGGTGGCAATAGGCATCCATTGCCAATGTTCATTATCAGCTCAGGAGGGGCTGATTTTTCTGCTTTCACCTGGTGATTCACAGCCTTTCAAAGCCTGAGTTTGTATGAACAGACTCTTCAATACAAAAAGATCATAATTTTACAAAAGCTCATGATTTTAATCAAGCTGATGTTATCCACTCAGGTACTGTTCAGTACTGTTCTTAAGAGTCTTTTCTCAGTGCTTTCCTTTCTTAAAATGATTTTTGCAATCTGCTTTGGTTCTGCTTTTTCCTGTAGCTCTCTACTAGCTGCTCATTCTGGAGGTAGGGAAGTGCTTTGTTAACCAGAAAGGAATAACCAGAAAGTGCATATTCATAGAAAAATACGTATTTTTACATATTCTTCAGCTCCCTTTCTCTATTCCTTCTGGTTGCATAAATGTGTCAGCACCCGTTTTAAGGGTCCATGCATGTTTTGCCTCTCCTTTTATGTTTCATCATCCAGTCTATTGCATGAGTAAATTAGCTTAGGTATTAATGAGCTGGAGAAGATGGTTTTTTTCTGGGTTTTGATTTCAGGCACCACATTATAATCTGGTGTGTCAGTATTCATGGGTTCCAGGTTATTTACTTGTTAACTTCAGTACAATTAATGGAGATAAAACCTCAGAAAAACATGGATTTTTACCAAGAGATACCACTCTTCATTGTTTCCCTTGTTAGCCAAGGGGTTACAAACACACAGAAATCTCTAGTTGAGCCCATGATGTTACTAATCCCTCTCCAGAGTGGGACATGGCTGGTAGCAGAGCTCTCACTGCTGCAGCAGGACAGGCCCTCACTTACAGCAACATTTTTAACTATTCCCTCATGTTCTGACTGTGCATTTGTCAAGTACCACTGCGAGGAATATTTGAAGACCCAAAGTCAACTTTTCTCATGGCAGATGAATTTCTAGCACCTCATTTGTCCCTGGTAGGAATCTGCTTAGGACTCTGCTTTCTCCAAGTGATTTCTTTCTCCCTCCATTTTGAGTAGGTACAGCTGACGTGAAAAAAAGGAGATATGAGGGAAACAGTCTAGTGACAGTGGCAGAAGAATAATTATAGACCTTGTTGCATGCTCTGTCTTGGATGGAGCAAACAGGCAGAATGTGCTGAAAAAGTCTGAACGTACTGTTTTTGTAGAGTGTTCTGGTATTTCCTACTGTGTGAGTCAGCTGAAAATTCCCTGATTCTTTTGCTTCATTCTCCTCTCAGGTTGTACAGCAGTCACTGGACAAAATGCCATCCCCAATTACTGCAGGTCTCCACTGCCTATTTCTACTGGTCACAGCATGTTGCCAGACATCACAGGACTCAAACTTTCATCCATTCATCCAATACATAGTGAGTATCCTTTCCCAGCCCCACTGGTTTTCATTTGGTCTCTGCTTGTAGCACCCAGCTGCTATAGCTCTTTACAAAACCTCAGAGGACGTCAGTATAAGATCAGGTGGGAAAACTGAACCCAGAGTCTCCCCAGTGTGTAAAAGAGATGGAGAAATCCAGGAACTGGGCTTTTCTTGCTTCCCAGTCTTAAAGCCTCTCCAGAAGGAACTGAGCAAAACTTCTGGTTTCTCACTTGTGTTAGTCTGCAAGGGATGTAAATTGCTGTCCCTGGAGCTAAGCCTAGGTGACAGTTATGTGGGCACTGTTCCTGGATGGGATTCACCCGCCCTATGAGAGACAGAAACCAATTAAGTCAACAAAACTAGCTTAGGCACAGACGTCCTTACAGGTAGGTGACAGGAGTCTCTTGGCAGTCAGACATGAGTACACATCACCAAAATGCCACCCCTGAGTGACTTGTGTTTAGATGTTGTGCTTGGACTCAGGCTCTACTTCAGTTTCCCACTTTTTCAATAATTCTCACGTACCACTTTTGCTTCACTATAGTGTGAATTATGGAAATCTGTTTTGTGCTTTGTCCTATATAGGGATTTGGTAACAGGCACCTTCCGCACAAATAGTCCCTAACTAGAAACGACAAAAGAGGAACAGAGAAACGAAAGGACTGAACAAATGGAAGTTAATATAGTCTAGTAAAGAAAACTAGTCTACAAATCTACCAGCTCTTGGTCTAGCACAATTATTATTAGACCAGAAAATACTTCTTTTTTCTTCTACATTATGAACCCTATCAAGGCAAACCAGATTCTAGCATCTATATTCAGCCCCTAGCACCACAGGGACCTTAGTTCTTATGGACTGACCAGAACACAATATGCTTTTTTGAGCAGGTTGAAAAAAAGGCAAGAAGAGGTGAAGAGAAAGGTGTGAACTCCTTAAGCTGTTTCTGCCACTATCCCTTGTCTTGGCAAACCAAGATATAGCTGGCTCAAGCAGCACTGTCTGCTCTTTGGCAAATGTCTAATAGTGAGCAAGTATCTTGTTTGCTCTGTTTTTTTCAAACTGTCTCCAGCTCAGCACTTAGGCATTTTCATGAAAAGAGTAACACTGTATTTTTTAGCACCATTGATCCATCGTTGATCCTGCAAATGAATCACTTAATAGTGTGAAATATGTGAAGTATTTAATGACATAGCAATACCCTGTAGCTGTTTGGGAGAATAATTAAAAAAGGAAACCACTGAGACCAAACCTGGGGGAAGAAGTGGATTGCAGTGGGCTTTCTGTAACTTTTGCAGCTAACCTCTAAGCTGAAAGGTAGTACCCCTAGCAGTGCAAAAATGCCAATGCGCCTTGGGATCTTCACTGCCAGCACAGTGGCGATACGAAGCCCAGCTCTAATCACACACCAGATGGTTCCTTTATGTAAAGAGATGACTTAAGAGTTGCCAAGCTATTCACTCTTTCTGTAAATAAAGATTTCAGTAGGACTCAAGAAACTGGCAAAGCTGCAAATTTCCTGCCTGCGTCTTTGCTTGTTCTTCAGCCTTTCTTGCTAACTGTGGTGCCAATGTATTTTTAGAGCATGATTAAAAAAATAAGATGGTCTGCATCTCACTTGGCTGCACCCTGTGTGAACCCAACCATACTGAAATTGTGCCACTACTACCCTGGTCAACTGTGTGCCCACAAAAGAGCTGACCTGACACCTGAGCTGGAGCCAAGACAGTTCAATCCCCTTTCTACTGCTGCTCAGGCTGGCTTTGCTGCTGCAGAATTGGAAGCTCAGAGGAAAGAGGAACGCAAAGGGTAATAGGAGTCCACTTTCTGGATTCAAAGGCTGAGTGGCCAGATCTCCCAAACAGTTTGCAAGGCTGGCGCAGGACTGAGAGCACTACATCAGCCCCATAGCCAGTTTGCAGCTCAGACACAGAATTTCTGCTAAGCTGAAACAATTGCCTTGCAGAGACACACAAAGAGAGACCTGCAAACTCAGTACATCCCTCAGCTGCTGTTTAACATTTCCCTGCTTGGAAGATATAAATGTTCTGTTTAAAGAGGAAAAGGGGGGCAGGGAGGACCAAAGATTGAGGGAGGGGAAAAAATGATCTATGCCGGTATTTTCTTCACTAATTCTTTCATGCCAACAACAGCAGCTAGAGCCTCACTTTGTTTTTTCACAGAGCTTCACTCTCTTTTTTCCACAGACTGACAGCGTGCTAGGAGAGGAAAGCTTCCAGTCAGAGATGCAAAGGCAGAAGCGAAACGGTATGTACACATATGTATGGTAACAGAGCAGGTTCCTAGTAAGCTGAGGGTGAAATCACTGTTGGGGACAGCAGCTCTTGAGATACTGAACTTTGATCATCAAGGAGAAGTAGTTGTTGTGGTTTAACCCCAGCCAGCAGCTAAGCACCACCCAGCTGCTTACTCACTCTCCCCCAGCGGGATGGGGGACAGAATCAGAAGGCTCAAAGTGAGAAAACTCATGGGTTGAGATAAAGACAGTTTAATCAGTAAAGCCAAACAAGGAATTCATTCCCCACTTCCCGCGGGCAGGCAGGTGTTCAGCCATCTCCAGGACAGCAGGGCTCCATCACGCCTAACGGTGACTTGGGAAGACAAAATGCCATCACTCCAAACGTCCTACCCTCCCTTCTTCTTCCCCCAGCTTTTATTGCTGAGTGTGATGTCATATGGTGTGGACGTCACGCTCCAGGTCATATGGTGTGTGACATCATGTTAGTCAGTTGGGATCAGCTGTCCCAGCTGTGTCCCCTTCCAGCTTCTTGTGCCCCCCCAGCCTGCTTGCTGGGAGGATAGAGTGGGAAAAAGAGAAGGCCTTGATACTGTGTAAGCACTGTTCAGCAATAACTAAAACATTGTGTTATCAACACTGTTTTAATTACAAACCCAAAACATAGCCCCATACAAGCTACTATGAAGAAATTTAACTCTACCCCAGCCAAAACCAGTACAGTAGTAAAGGCACAAACAAAAGAGGTGGAAACTTTTGTCTGGTCAGAGACTGACATATATGAGCTCAGTTTTTATGCAAGATTAAATACACGGTGTAGAAAAAACCCCAAGCCTCTTAGGAGGACACGGGCCACAAGATAATCCTGTATGGCTTCAGTCTGTGGTTGACAACCCATCCACTTGCTGAGTCAAAAAAGAGAAAGGATGATACAGCTTTTCTCTGTATATATTATGTCATTTATATCAGCTTCCTATTGCTCTGAGAGCAAAGAAATCTGGCTTTTTTCAGACAAGCAGCAGATAAAACATGTGCAGAATATCTGCTGAGTAGGAATCAAGAAGATTTCCTAAGCAGAATGCCACATTAAGCTACCATTAAATAGCAACAGAGCCCAAATGCTGAAACAGAAGCCATCAATTTATGATTTACCCTCACACACAGCTTTGCAGTCTCATACTATTTCTCTTTTAGTACTTATTTTTGACCTTCGCCCTCTAGAGTACACCGTTGACATTGAAGTAAGCCTTATGGATTCATGTTTTCTGGAGCCAGTCAAAGAGTATTTCAAAAAACTTAGTCTTCCAATTTCAACAAATATTTCAAATGTAGAAATGACAGTTTCAAAGATCGACATTACAACAGGTGGGTTGGTTATTTATTTTTATATTCTGGGTGATGTACTTTTTTGCCAGTATTTGATCTCTCCCTGTTTTACCATCCATCATGCTTAGAAATCAACAAAACTGAACTGTCTCTGCTGCTTACTGAAAGACTCAACAAGACTGAAGCTCTAGCACACAACAGCGTGTTTTGTTATCTGCATCCCGCCACTGGTCTTTCCATAATGTTGACATTAGGAATAGCCCTGAATGCTTTTCTTTTACTAAGGAAGGGACAAAACCAGAGGAAGCCTGAGCCAAAGGACTTTGCTCCAGTTTGACTAACAAGCAGTCTGAGTTACTTTCAAGCTTCAGGAAGCTGCGACAGAGGTTATCAGACTGTTTACTTCCCTCCACTTGCATTTGGAACGTAAATCACTGTAAGAGGCTGTACTCTGACCCTGACAGAGACAGGCTGTATGAGATGAAGTCTTTTCCTGATATAACTCACTATATGTATTCTTACAGGTCAAGATATCAGACAGGTTTTATTACATGAGTTGTGGTTGTGCAACTTCACATCCAAGTAACTAATACAGCAGAGGATATGCAAATGCACTGAACATTTACAACAGCAGAGGATATTTGGTACCTTCTTATTGCTGGCCCATAAAGCAGTGAAAGGAAGCGTTCATCAGCTCTCAAAACAACATGCAAACGGATCTTTGAAAGGCCTTCAGGGTCACCTGCAATGTGTGAAAATCACTTTGTTAATATCTTACTTTGCCAATGGCACATTAAGAGCAGAAAAACTTACAGTGAAGTGTTGGGGTTTTTTTATTAGAGATAATATCTGGTTTTAAAGCACTTTGTGGTAATGTTACGTTCTCTCATGCGACATCTGTCAGGATACAGTCGGAATGACACAGCACCTCACTAGCCACTGAGACTTTGAATGACCATTACATGCTCTTACAATCTTTAAAACCCTATGCATTTGCTTTCAGCTCAGGTAATATAGAAATATCCAATCTGCAAACTATCATAGGATGCTGGCCAATATGCCAGGTAAATTTTTAGGATCAGGCTTCACATCTCCATTCAATTACTTAAAAGTAATTGATCAGACTTATCCCTGTTACCAGTCTGGTTCCCATTTCTGGTTAGTCATTTATTATTAGTATAGTAAGATTTGCAAGGCATCAGATCATCAAGTTGCATCATTCAAGTGAACTCACAAGAAGGGCAACATTTAGTTGAGATCACTGGTATAAAGATACAGCAGGGTAAATAAGCAGTAAGTTATGCCCGCTTACTATTCTCATAGCATTTCTCTCTCTGACACTAGTCTGTCTGCTCAGCGGTGAGAACAAGAGCTGTTGTTCTTGTGAAAAAGGATATGCCTGGCCAAGTGCAGTGTGCGGTGACTTGATAACCTGCCCTTCTGTCAGCCTAGCACCCGACCTGCCCTGCAGCTACGTGATGGAAAAGCCTTTTTGCGGGCCTTACTGTGAGCCTCAGACTGAAGGTAAGGAGAAACAGTGCTGAACTTCATTGTTGTACAACTCATATACTGGTTAGAAGATGGAATAGTGTTAAAGGTGTAATAAAGCAGCACGTCAGGACTGAGCTGGCTACCACATTGCCTATGAATGTGGAAAGTCTGTAGAGACGCTCTAGAGCTCTCCTCTTTGTGATGTGGGTCCACCTTGGCCCAAATACGTGGAGATATTTAGTGCTATGCTGGACCCCCAGCTCCTGGAATCACTCACATGCCTCTGGGATTTTCAGCTTCCACTAAACAAAGAAAATTTCATCTCATCAGATTTTCAACAGAGGAACTTACAAATGTGACCAAAGTGTGCCATAGTGCTCAATAGAAGAGAAGGAACAACAAAAAAAATCCAGCATGTATCTTTTGTTTGGTTTTATTTCATGACTTGTGACAAGGTGCCCATGACTTTTTAGGAACCTGACTGATGACTGGACACTTAGGCTTGACAGCACTGGGGTGGAGCACTACCTGTTGTCTCTGCAATCCAAGACAGACCCCCATGAGAGTCTACCTCTAATTTGTGATGGAGCAGCAGGCAGAGATACCCAGAGGCAACCCTAGAGCTGGAAGCAGTCCAGTGCTGTCAGCATGCCTGTTCTAATCAGCTCTCCTTAGAGGCAATGCTTTTATCACAGGGCACCCCCACATCAATACTGCTATACTATTTCCAGGACTAGAGCTAGTATCTCTTCCATGTGGAAGTCCCACATGCCTTAGAAGTCCAAGGCCCTGGGTACAATGCTCCTCCACTGCAAGGTATGGACATGTCCTTAAAATGGACCCAACTTCGAAAATTCCAGTGTCTCTCTAAGCATTTTATATTCTTTTGTGCCCATTGAGAGGTCTTCACCCAGAATATTACCCTCCCAAAGTCATTGAGGATTTTTCCATTAATTTCAGTGAAACGTAGGTGGAGATTCATCCTGTGTAACTTTCACTTAGTAAAAGTTAAGTATCTGGTCAAAGTTACTCATCCAAACTCTATAACTGGAACAATGTAGCAATTCAACTATTGTAGGAAAGCTGTCTGTCAACACCTGAATGTATCACCTTCTGAAGGTGTCTGCAGCTTTGCATCAACTGGAGAGGGAGTCTAGGTATCTAGCAGCTGCCAGGCATCTAAATTAGCTATAGAAATCTAGAGGAATCCCAACTTTCCTATCATACAGACGAATCTTGACAAGTTGTAAGTTTTTGATTTAGAATTAGGATGACTTCACCAAGGGCAAATTGCACCTGACTAATCTAGTGGTCTTATACAATGGAGTGACTGCATCAGTGAACAAGGGAAGAGCTACGGATGTCATCTACCTAGACTTCTGTAAGGCCTTTGATACAGTCCCCTACATTGTCCTTGCTGCTGAATTGGAGAGATATGGTTTGACAGATGTACTGTTAGATGGATAAAGAACTGGTTGGATGACCACGTTCAAAGAGTTATACTCAGTGGCTCAACGTCCAAGTGGAAGCAAATAACGAGTGGTGCACTCAAGGAACTGTACTATTTAATACCTTCATCAATGACACAGACAGTGGGACTGAGTACACCCTCAGCAAGTTTGCAGATGACACCAAGCTGAGTGGTGCAGTTGATTTGCTAGAGGCAAGGGATGCCGTCCAGGGGGATCTTGACTGCTCAAGGAGAGGGCCTGTGCGAACCTCATGAAGTTCAACAAGGTGAAGTGCAAGGTCATGTACCTGAGTTTGGGCAATCCCCAGTATCATTACAGACTGGGGGATGAATGGATTGAGAGCAGCCCTGTGGAGAAGAACTTGGGGGTACTGGTAGATGCAAAATTGGACATGAGCCTGCAATGTGCACTTGCAGCTCAGAAAGCCAATAGTATCCTGGGCTGCAGAACAAGAAGGGTGGCTGGCAGGTCGAGGGAGGTGATTCTTCCCTGCTACTCCACTCTCGTGACACCCCACCTGGAATACTGCATTCAGCTCTGGGGTCCTCAGCACAAGAAAGACAGAGACCTGTTGGAGCAGGTCCAGAGGAGGGTCACGAAAATGGTCAAAAGGATGGAACACCTCTCCTATGAGGAAAGGCTGGGAGAGTTGGGGTTGTTCAGCCTGGAGAAGAGAAGGCTCCAGGGAGACCTTATTGCAGCCTTTCAATACCTAAAGGGGGATTATAAGAAAGATGGAGAAAGACTTTTTATTAGACCCTGTAGTGACAGGATGGGGGCAAGAGATTTAAACTGAAAGAGGGTAGATTTAGATTGGACATAAGGAAAAAAATTTTTTATGATGAGGATGGTGAGACACTGGAACAGGTTACCCAGAGAAGTTGTGGATGCCCCATCACTGGAATTGATCAAGGTCAGGTTAGAAGTCCCTCCCCGTGGCAGGGAGGTTGGACTAGATGGTCTTTAAATGTCCCTCCCAACTCAAATCATTCTATGATTCTGAGATTCTATGATTAAGTTAGAAGAAAAAGCTAAGAAATCACTTTGTAAGCATTGCTTTTGATTATTTTTACATTTATTTTTGTGTTTTTTCTTACAGACTTATGTGCTATTGGAGAGCCCATTATAATGAATATGTCAGTCAGGCTGAATAAGTCAAGCACAGTCTATTGGCATAATCTCACGGATCCTTCTTCTGAATCATACAAAAAATACAAAGCTGACCTTGAAAAAGCGGTAATGACTTTTGTTTTCCACCTCTGAAGGTTGAAAGTCCTCTAAGAAATATGGTATTTACCCTGAGTGTCTGGGAAATAGGGTGCACTCTCACTGTCTCTCTGCAGAGCTGTGAAGTATGCAGCAGTGGTAGCTACAAAGTGGGCTAAAGCTGACCTCCATTGAAAGGCAATGACAATATTCCCATTCATTTTAATATGCTGGCCAACAGGGAAGTATTTAGGAATCTTTGCATCAAAGCATGAAAAAAAATCACATTATTGGTCCCAGCTTAAATCCACATGAGCGCACATAGAATGAAACCATCAAACAAATTTATACCAGTGACAGTGGGGAGAGCACCAGGCCTATTCTGTTAGGTATGCTACATGCCCTTACTCCCATCAATGCTGAATGGAGAGTTTCCTATTTGAAGCACGCTAGAGCAATATACAGAGCAATATACAGAGGACTTATGTCATGTAATATGTCTTTGTTTACAGTTTAATGCTAGCTACAGATGTTTACCAGGCTTTGTATCAGCAACAGTAACTGGCTTCAGGTAAGTAAACAATTTCATTTTTTCCTGGAAGACACAAATCTTTCTGTCCCATCTCAAGGAAACACTCAGCAGCAAAACCTACATTCACGCTGGCTAGAAGCCATGCCCAATATATACATACTGAATAACAGTATAATAGCTGCAAAGGAAAGCCCAACTATTAGCATGGAAATAGGATTGTGGTAAAATTCACTACTGTGCAAAAGTTGCCAAGAAACATAATCGTTCTCCATCTGGATCAAAGCCTTTTGTGGGAAAGACTGAATTCCACCCAAAAGGGGAAAAGGATGTGAATAAACCTAGCATCATCTCCCAGGTCATCAGGAAGACAAATTAGTGCATTGACTCTGGATATAACGTTGGATCTGGATAAAAGAGATATTACTTAAGTCCACACATATTTAAACGCAGATGTATTCTACATTTTCTAAGGGAAATTTACTAGGAATAGAAAGCAGATGAAGGACATGTCACGTAAAGGTGTTCTTACTTTGGGAAGAGCTGTAGCACAACCTTTTTCTATACCAGAACAAGTCTTGAGTCACAACAGGACCCTTCACAGGTGAGCCCTGTGAAGCTTACTACTAATATGCAAGGATATTTAATCCTGGTGCTTCTCTCATTCTTGTATCTGTTTAGGCCTGGAAGTGTTTTTGTGAACTATGAAGTAAAAGCAGGAGCAGCAAGCTTCGATCAGATAGCAAATTCCAACAAAATTGTACCACAGTTTCTAGATGCATGGTACCAGCTAGACCAAGCTACCTTCACAATGAAAATAACTGGTAAGTTTAAAGCTCTCTCAGTATTTTCCTTCAACCTTTTAGTATTTCTAGCCTGAGCCATGTAGCTGCCTTATACTGTTGATTATTTGGTACTAGACCTTCAAAAAACATTTATTTCTCTGGCTGTTTCATTTCATCCTGGGCCACCAAAGCTGAGGACTTACAAGAGATGACCATGCATGCAGCACCTCCCATGGAAAACCAAAACCTTCCAGCTAATCCACTGAACCCTGATGCAGCCTCTCCATGGGAGAGAGACTGTCACCTCCAGAACTGAGACAGCTCTTAGCATATCAGGCTGCCAGCACTTCCCACTTCTTCAAACAAAACACAAAACCTCTTGCAGTTTACATGAGAACAGCTTCCCTCTGGCTTCCTTGGCACATTTTCCATGCTGCCGCTAGACAGCAAGTTACAATCGAAATGCCTGATCAAGTGCCGCAGAGGTGCTGTACTCTCAGTGCATTAAGCACTGGACTTTCTGTCTCAGAGGATTATTTTAACCTGGTTGCTTCTCCTCCCAGTTTATCTACTTAGAAAGTAGTGGCAGTGACAATATTTCTGGTTCTCTGCATAAAACCTTCTGGGATCTTTGGCTGACAAAGATAGCAGAAGAATATGTTGTGGGAAAATTGCATAGCTTGTATTAGAAGTAGTGCCTGCAACTGATGCTGAATACATATTAGTTGCGAAGCACCTAGGATTCCCACGAGATGAAAGACACCACATAGATGTGCGCTGAAATGACAATAATGCAGAATGTTGCTCTTTGTCTTCCCAGATCAAACAAACTTCACTGTGAGTCCTGTTGACATTTTTGAAGGGGATACAGTAAGACTGACATGTCAGATAAATTCAACATCTCAGAATGTGACTTGGTATTACAGAGATCAGATCATCTCAACCGGCTTGCAGTATTCGATAAACGTTTCAACAAAAACCTCATGGTCAACTCTTGAAATTATCAACATTACAATGAAGGATAATGGTATGATTTTCTATTGTTAAAACAGCAGATGTAAGTCTCTAGTGTGGCTAGTTCTATAAAAAGAGGCATGCAGTGACTGCATTTTCCTAGAATAAATGTGAAAAATACACTGTTCCTCATAATTTTCCTTTTTTTTTTCTTTCATGAACTACATACTGACTGGCATTGCCAGTAAGATGTGAACTGACTGAAGTGACTAAACAGGCCTGGATTTTCTCAGTGCCAGGCTTCACTGCCATATCTCAGGAGACAGCAGTGACTACATGGCTGTGAGGTCTTCCCACCCTTTTGGTGTGGTAATCTGAGGCTGTGTTGAATTTGTCCTTGATGGCCCTTGCCTCCTTTGCCAACATAACTAATTAGAGCTCGGAGTTACAGTTTTCCATGTGTTCGTGTTTAGAGCTTTTTGAAAATCAGAAGCAGTTAAATTGGTGGCATTTTGCTGGGAGGAATTATCAGGGGAATTATCATGTATTATCAGAACTTTGACTCAAGTTCCCATTCAGTTCTTCTCTTTAGACCATGAATTTTACATTTAACTTCAAAAAGGGTAGTCTCTGACAAGGTATTTGGGCACACAGAGCCAAGGTAGGAGTCATGGGTCCAAACTTCTTCGAGCTAAGGGTGCCCTGAACCTTGGTGTCTCCTCTCCTATGTAAGTGGCCTACTCACCAATGGGGAAGGGGAATCCACATACCTAAAGTATGAAGGAAATTTGGAGCTCTGATTGCCGATTTCAAAAGAAAGCCTGGCTGCATCCAAAGGACAAGTGCCTGAGAAAGTGGCTGATAACTTCTCTGCTGCCTTTGGCGATACCTTCTGAGCAGCCTATGTGCTCACACTTAGAATGCCAGCTCTTGTGTAGTCCACCCTGGGCACCTCTCTCTCACCCATTCTGTGTAGGAACCTTTTGCACAGTCGGTCTATATTCTTGCCATAACATATTGCTGCCACGTGGACTACGGGCAATACACAGATCCCCAAAACACCAACTCAGCCAGCTTTTAAGTATTTCAGTCCCAGAGCACTGGTCTCTTCTCGAGTACCCATCAACACTGAAGCTGCCTAATCTGGATACGTTTGGCACCAGGAGTCTGCAGAAAGCATAGTGCAGATGACCTGAGGGTACATTTTGATTAGCAAGTAGCAGAGCCACTGCAGAGCAGGGAGATGGGAAAAGTAGGTGTGGAAGTAGGCCCAGCTCCTAAGCCCAAACGTAGAGGAAAAAAACAGTGAAATGTGTTCTCAATGCTAAGATATTGCCTATGCTTTACAGGTACCTATGGGTGCTCTTTCACAAAGAGCAATAATTTTCACACACTGATCTACAAGGCCACAAAACCAATAGTAGTCTCTCCACTACACATCACTCCGAACGTAAACAACATGAGTGTTGTATGCAACAGCCCTGAAGTGCAGACAAACAGTCCTCTGCTGTCCTGCTGTATTGACAGACACATACCATCACTTACCGGTGACTGGAAAGTAAATGGAGCAATCAATATTACAGGTATGATTAACAAAAGATTGTCTTTCACCTGCTAAGTTTGTTTGTTCTTCAAAGATCTCCTCCTAATTGGCTACCCCAAAGGCCAAATCCTAGGATGACTACCGGGTGTGCTCCAAAGGTGTGTGTGTGTGGGAAGGACGAAGGATGGATGGACAGCGTGGTACAGACTCCGTATATGTTGTGCAGGTGCCAGTGGGATTCTGGGCATCTCCATGCACTGTGCATACATTGATGCTTAAAACTGTGCCATCCTGGATGGAAACAGCTGCCTGGACCAGCGTCATACCAGCTTTTTCCAAAAAGCTTATTTCTTCATTGTCTAGTTTTGAAAGCAAGGATGAGTGCATCAGTCTCTACTACTAGCTCCAGAATCACCCTTGGGGTATGAAAAGCTTTTGTGTACCCGATACCAAGATTTGGCAACCAAGAGAAGCAGGTGCTACACTTTGAAACAGCTGCAGCATAGCTAAATACTGAGTGCGCAGTTTCCCTCTCCGCCTGTACTTGTGATACAACACATGCCAGTTGAGTCAGTGGCATCCCACAAGGCTTTACTTATAAAATGAATATAAAGAGTTAATAAAACACCAAGTAAATGTGTTACAAAGAGTTACAAAATAACATCAATAGAAATGCTCATAAATGTCTATCAACCACAGTCATAAACAGTCTATTGCCCTCTTAATATTTTATGGGTATGGATTAACTGTTTATCATTAACCATTTGCTATAAATCAAATTTAGCAGAAAGCAGGACAGCAAAATGAGAGGAAAAACTTCAAAGCTTATGTACACAGTCATTTCCACAGAGGACTGCTATGGGTGTGCAGCAGCGCTTGCAGAGAGAGGGGTGATCCTGGCCTGCTGTAATGAGCTGTTCTGCCCTTGATTCCCTGTGGCCAGGCTTTCCCCCAGGAACTCTGCTCTCACACCAGATGCACATTCAGCTGCAGTGGGAGACAACTTTAGTGGGGTTTTCCTTTTATGGCTAAACCAACACTCTTCAGATTTAAAGTTGAATGACTGTCAGTATCTCCAAATGTTTATGTCAAAATAAGATGACATTAAAATCTGCAGTATTTACCTCTGTTTTACTTACCTTACTTATCCTAAATATCGTAGATAATGGGGTTAGGCAGAACCAGAATACTTTCCATTTTGGCTTTTCCTGAGGTAGCCAAGCAATGTTGTTGGTCTCAGACTGGTTTTGGCAGTAGGTGCCCAGCACTGTGCTGATAGCCATCTTCAAGCCTTTGGAAAACCACTGTGAGTGTTGCCAGAGGAAAAGGGTGTGAATGAACTTCAGCAATGATGAGTTAAAAGTGCCATGCTGTCAAAGGTTACATACAAACCCACAAGGTTTTCCTTAGCTAGAGTGATTGTTTGTGATTTCCAGAGCCCATGTATTTTTGGACATCTGTAGCCCTTCAAAGAATGTTTATTTCTCTCTAGGAGTCTCCATTTTCCGTGGAAACTGCACTGAATACAAGCTCAACATCAATGAGTCGGTATGCCCACCTGAGATGTCAGGTACAGTGACAACATATACATGTGAGCTGCGGACTGGACATGGTGCCAGGCACAGTCAAAACATCAGCGTAATGTACCTCCAGGCAGGTAAGAGTCAGGCAGCATGTAACAGACCATCAGCTCTTTAACGCTAAGTGGCCTCTGTGGTCCATGTCATTTGCAAGCAAATTATTATAACAAGTGACTCTCAATAATATGAAATTTATCTTGTGTTGTCTCAGCCAGAGTAACAATATCTTCAAGTATAAACTCATTCATTTCCGAGGGACATCCATTCAATCTGACGTGTGAAAGTGATATGAGCAATTACGACAGTATCAGTTGGAAAATCCGGTCTGCAGATAGAATAAAAACGGTGGACTGTGATACGTGCATCAAGAATAGCAACTTTTCAGCCATGTCTGTGCTCACAGTGCAGACTGCCACACAGGACTGGAACGGTGAGTGAACCTGGTTTGTATTAGCTACAAAGGCAATGAATCTCCGTACCAGACAATTTACAGCATCCCTAGCCCAGCAAATCACTGTGAAGCCTGACCACAGTAAATAAAAAAAAAGAGTTAAAATCATAACTGCTGGAGGACAGCAAGACATGATGCTGCCAACAACACTGTACTTGTTCAGTATTAGGGCTCATGACCATGCAAAAGCTGAGGAGCACTTCTGTTGACAGAGACATGAGGTTTTGTGTCACTTCTTTCAGGCACCTACATCTGCACCTTCTCCCAGAAGTACTTGGAGAGTTCTGCCAATGTGACAATCGAGGTTATTTCCTTGCCTCTGAAGCAGAACATCCTGATAAAACCCATTGCAGCATCGATACCCTGCGAAGTACAACAAGCCCTTGAATGCTGCATAAGTGCTGACACCGCGGAAAATTACAGTGTTACATTTGTGGTTCAAGAAAATAAATTTAAAGTTGGTAAGAAACAACAAACTCGCAGAATCACTAGTTGCGCTATGTGTCACAGCCCAGTCCCTCGGGGGGTTTGTTTTCAATTAGGTCTGTGTAACCAATTCATACTTACTGCTATTATGACAACCCACAAGTACTTCTGAGAGTGTAAAAAAAGGGTAATGGACTAGTTTTAGGATGGTTGCTATGCCTGGGCAGCATGGCTGAGATTAATAGAAGAGCAACTGAAGTCACTGCTGTAGTGATAAATACATAATAGGTAAATTCAATGTTTGGTTTGCCTTCCCAGGCAGTGAGAAGTGAGCATCCTCATCATTGTTCAGATTAGAAATTGCTGATCTCCATTTATTTGCTTTTATCTTCCACTCTGCCACTTTCTTGAACTCAGTATCAAGAAAACATTACTGAAGAAGATGATCCACTAATTCATGAAAAATGTATAATAACACATTAAGAATGCAATTCAAAAAACTATTCTATTTTCTTCAAGGATACAGGTAACATATCTTTAACAGCACAAAAGCCTAGGCTTCCATGACTTTAAATTTACGGCAGTTCTGCAGCTTCCCTGGCATGTTTTTATATGCTAGAAGTTTTCAAGTGGGTTACGAAAGAGTTAATTTGAAAAAAGCAAAGAAGAGCCACCTAAACTAACTCAGAAAACACGCAGGAGTGCAAAACCAACAGCCTGAAGTGTAAAGCGGGTGGAGACTGAGGGGTCCTTCAGCTGCTAAGAAAAATGCCAAGGTCTCGTTGGAAGAGATTGCAGTCAGGGACCCTCAGGCACACGCATACTGAAAAGCAATGGGAGCGTGGTACAGATCCTGAGTTCAAAAGAACCATATAAGAACAGCTAAAAAGTATCCTAGCCTAAATGAAATGCCTGTGGTAGAAGCAGAAGCAGGAAGAGTATTCTCCAAAATGGTTTCTAAAGCAAATTTTCGTTCCTGCACACTAAAAGAGGGTTTGAGCAGGATTTGCTCATACACCAGTAATTGAAAAGGTACTGATCACGCAGCAGCTGCCAGGAGATTTGTTAAGTGGGGAATAAGAGACAGAGATCAGCATACAGAAAGGAAGTTTTTTCCACAAAGGAAGTTTTTTTCTCTAGGACCCACAGAAAAGAAAGTTTTGCAGAAGCTTTCTGCTCTCTGCTAGCTGATTGACCCCAAATCTGTGTTAACCTATCTAAATCCTTCCATACAGGGAAAAATTTAAAAAGAAATTTGAATTGCTACGTGCACAATTACAGAGAAATAGAATGCAGCAAAGAGAAAAAGCTCATGGCATATTGCAAGTTTATGAACCACATTGGACAGCAAGTCAACAGTGAAAATATAACTCTGCACCTGATACCTGGTAAGAAAAAAGTTACTATTTAAAGCTGTGAAATAGGAAATCCCAGTATCTTTGTTAAATCAGATGCCACAAATTTATCGCTGGTGACCCCTAACCGGAGCAGTTTTTGTTAGCCAAGAATTTTTGTCTCCTTTTTTGACAGGAAATTTTGAAATACAGAGGAAAATACCAATTTTAATGTAATTTTAAAAAATAAGTAGACAAGATATTTTGTCTTCACTGTATTTGACGGTGGCCCCAGTATGTTCCCAAGCAGTTATAGTTCAGTCATCTTCTGTCCCTACTTCCTTCTGGTGCAGCCTGCACCACCAAGAGCTTCATCTTCTGTGTTGAAATGTGGGCATGCAGCTCCCAGCTTGCACCAACAATTTAGCAAGGATAAAAGATTGTGGTGCCTCAGGAAGAAGGCATCTAGCTGAGGAGGTCAGCCTGTGGGAGAACATATCCACTTTAAACACAAGAATGGCAACCTCCATGAGGTGTTGCAGAAACCTGGGCAGACCCACCTTCCAGTCAGCTCTGCAGGAAATGCTGGGTAATTAGAATTCGACATTGTTAAATCCAGTTTTGATGTTTAGTTCTGACCAGTGTTTGGATATTTCAGCTCCTTATTGGAAATTGGAAAGAAAGAAATGTTGGACATCCCCATAACGCAGAAATTTTGTTTTTTCCATGGTAGCATTGCCTACTGTTGAATCACTCTATCTGGCCAGATTTCACTTTCTTAGGCAATAAATATGCAGCCATTTTATTTACTTTAATCAGCAGATACTTACTGATATGACTAACACAATGAAAGCCAATTAGCAAGACTGACTGTTCATCAAAAAGGTGTTGAGGCCTTACTATCAAGGTCTTAATGAATTTCCTATTAGTGCTACAGCAGCACTGAGTCCCTTAGCAGAATAAACTTTGTGTGAATTACTGTTCACATAGTGGTCAATATAATCCCACTCCCCCCCTAACCCTGTAATCTAACAGACAAATCCTGAAACTTTGGTTATTGGTTTGTTGATTTGATTCAGTACTCAAAACCAAGGGGCTTCATTCAATTTCCTTTTTAATTTCATGATTCCAAAAAATTGGGAGTGCAAGACATACACATCCTGAAAGGTCATAATTAATGAAGACAGCAAGCTGAAATCCTAACTAATTTAAAGACCTCTAAACTTCAGGAGGTCACAGGTTTGATGGGGGTAAATTATATCTCCCTGCTTCTTAGTTTTCTGCCTCTGTGTCTTTCTCAATACAGGTAAGGAAGTTTCCTGCTCAGACAGCCTTGGCATTGGAGTAGAAGGGGCCACGTTAATAATGCCATGTACGTTAAATAATTCAGATTATTCAGGCACCCGAGGCAATGCAACTTACAAGTGCTCCAACAAGGAATGGAAACTTGCAAGGAATGACTGCCTGTCTGAAACAATAAGCAACCTGCTGACTCAGGCCGAGGTAACATTTATGAGTTTTCTAGAGGTTGGGGTGGGGGTGAGTAGGAGAGAGCAAAAATTGTTGGGTGGTTTTTTGCTTAACATAATCTAAAATATATGAAGCGTTAAAAAATCAAATATTTAATTAAAACTATCTTTTAAATGATATAAAGAATGATTGGCTATATCTACACAAGTCAATGAAAGAGGCTAGGTCCCCTTCTCTGGCCCAGAAGGCATGTGGCACTGCATGGTTAATACCCATACACACGAAACGCTCTCTCCCCCAAACAAGGTGACCTTATTCATAGTGTCCAGCAGGAGCAGTCGCTGGCCTGGAGTGCTCCCTGAACCATGCTCCGGCGTTGCCTCGGTGAACGCTAGTTGACACAAGCCCAAAGCACGCTACGGAGTACGCTAACAACGGTGCAATAGGAACAACTCTGTGCAACTGCCCAACCTCAGACCCAGGCCCTGTTTAGCATGCCCCATCAGCTGCCATGCTTCACAGAGAGGTGCTGGGGCTCGGTTTTCAGCCTAGGTATTCTATCATAGCGCTCTTCACTTCTACAAACCATCCAGAGTCACCCTTCTCTCAGTGAGGTTAGATGAGAACAATTATCTTTCTTTCATCAAATGCTTACGACGTTTATTTTAGTAAATTAGGCACAGCAAGGTCCCAGGCAGAGGTACAGCTACTCCATTATGTATTTTCTTAACTTGCTAGATTGCTCACTCATGCGGTTTGGGCCCAGGCCAACTATTTTCTCCCCCAAAATTTCCAGGAGCAATTTACGAGTTAGAACAGACAAAAGACTACTCTCAATAGGCAGTTAGGGTACCCTGTTCTGGAGGGTCAGAGGATTGAACACCACCAGCATGTCTAGAATGACCCTCGGTCTGTTTATTTTACTAGTATAGGTGTAGCCATTATGAAGGATCAAGCTCCAGGCAAGTTGCACACATGTGATGTACTGTTATCTTCTGTTCCAGTCCTTGGTCAACAGTCCTGATGCAAAAGCACGCCTACCTGCATACCTTGAAGAGCTTAAGAAAAAGACAGAAAGTCAGCAAAACATAATAAACACTTCTCCTGCAAACCTAGGTGCAATTGTTAACATCCTGTATATGGTGTCCTCTATCCCAGCATGTGCAAAGGAGCTCGTAATTGAAGTAAGGTTTTATTTTAAGTCTTACCTATACTTATCAATCCCTTTGGCCCCTTTTGTCACAGGGGATGACATTCTCCCTGAAGCAGTTTCACAGCTAGTTAGGGTCAGGAACAGGAAAGTATTGAGGGAATGAGATGAAATGACAGCAAAGATGAAACGACAGCAAAGATACAGAGTAGTTTATGAAAAGTCATAATGATGAAGACAAGGATTCTATGCATGAAAAAGAGGCTGCTGTATGCTTAGCAACTAGAAATGTTCTAGGGACCCCCAAATGTCTCTAGCATTCTAATACAGAGGAAAAGGACAAGGAATGATGGATGAAAAATTGGACATGAGCCTGCAATGTGCGCTTGCAGCTCAGAAAGCCAATAGTATCCTGGGCTGCAGAAAGCGAAGCGTGGCCAGCAGGTCGAGGGAGGTGATATTCCCCCTCTACTCTGCTCTGGTGAGACCCCAGCTGGAGTACTGCATCCAGCTCTGGGGTCCTCAGCACAAGAAAGACATGGACGTGTTGGAGCGGGTCCAGAGGAGGGCCATGAAAATGGTCAGAGGGCTGGAACACCTCTCCTATGAGGAAAGGCTGGGAGAGTTGGGGTTGTTCAGCCTAGAGAAGAGAAGGCTCCAGGGAGACCTTATTTCAGCCTTTCAATACTTGAAGGGGGCTTACAGGAAAGTCAGAGAAAGACTTTTTATTAGACCCTGTAGTGACAGGACAGGGGGTAAGAGTTTTAAACTGAAAGAGCGTAGATTTAGATTGGACATAAGGAAAAAAAATCTTTATGATGAGCGTGGTGAGACACTGGAACAGGTTGCCCAGAGAAGTTGTGGATGTCCCATCATTGGAAGTGTTCAAGGTCAGGTTGGATGTCCCTGCCCATGACAGGGCAGTTAGACTAGATGATCTTTAAATGTCAAAACCATTCTGTGATTCTATGACTAGAAGCAGGAATAGAAAAAATGGTTGAAATAAGGATAGGGAGAGTAAATTCCAGGGTCCATGATCAAGCAAGGACAATCAATTAGATCTTACAACAAATGAATAACAAAACAAATCTTAGAAATTCTTGGAAACCTTGATTGTGAGGTATAGAGGAAAAGCACCACTCTTCTGAGCAGAAAAGTGCAAAGAGACTTGGTGTTTTGTAGCTGGAGAACCCTACATGAGAGAGAGAGAGAAATCAAAGATAGCACAAAGGCTGAGAAAGAAGGGAAAGAAGGCTGGAGAAGAAAAAATACTAAGTAATATGTAAAAAAAAAGGCCACACAGCTCCACTTTTGGAAACCTTAACTTGTAAATAGAGCATGCAGAGGGTTAACAACTGAAGGTTTCATATGGATTGAGAAAAATAAGAAAATATTGGGCTTTTTCAAAAGGCAATTCTAGGACCACACAGAAATTACCATCAGAAACAGCAACGATTTGTATGGGATTTCAGTAACAGCATTATTCTGTTGTTGTTCCAGAATTTCCTCTCCACAATGGACTTTATTGTTGCTGATTCCACAGCTGGAGTTTGGGAAGACCTGAATAAAGAGGACATACCCAAAAGTTCTTTGTTACTGCAGTCGGTAGAAAATTTTGCCCAGCTCCTCCAACCAGTTAATAATGCCATTCCTTCTGTCTTTGCAAACTCCCTTCAGCTACAAGGTATAGTGGTCACAGAAAATAACAACTCTTGTTATAACAAGAGCTTCCACAGTACAGAAAACCTCGCAGCTAGCGTGTTCATTGGTGAAAATGAGATACAGACTCTACCCCAAAATTCAACCGTTGTCAGTGTGATGTACTCAACACTTGGAAATATTCTGCCCCGGAATGGGACCAAGTGTGTGAACAGCTTACTGATAACAACAACTGTGAGCAGCAACAGAAGTCAGAAGTTCAATATTAATATGACATTTGCAAAGAAAAACTCATCTCTAAAGATGCCCCAATGTGTCTTTTGGAACTTCGCACTGAACAAACGTAGGGTGCGCTGGGATACTCATGGTTGCACGCCCACAGAGGGAGAAGATTATGTCATTTGCTACTGCAGTCACTTGACATCATTCTCCATTCTGATGTCACCTGATAAACCCTCCCAGGCAATTTATATGCCTGCACTTTATATTACCTACATTGGCTTGGCCATTTCAATCTTGAGTTTGGTGGCCTGCATTATAATTGAATCCTTAGTCTGGAAATACGTGACAAACAACACAACCTCCTATATGCGCCACATCTGTATACTCAACATAGCTACATCACTCTTGATTGCTGACATTTGGTTCATTGTCACTGCCTCCATCAATGACCAAAACCAACAGATGAGCAGAGGCATCTGTTTTGTGGCCACCTTTTTCATCCATTTATTCTACCTGTGTGTCCTTTTCTGGATGCTCAGCCTGGGCCTCATTCTTTTCTACAGACTGGTCTTCATCCTACATAACACAAGCAAGACCGCTCAGAAAGCGGTGGCATTCTGCCTGGGATACGGGTGCCCCTTTGTCATTGCAGTCATCACCATCGCTGTCACACTGCCAAGGAGCAGTTACACCAGAAAGGATGTCTGTTGGCTCAACTGGAAGGACAGCAAAGCTTTCTTGGCCTTCGCCATACCTGCCCTGATCATTGTGGCCACGAATTTGTTCATCACTGCAGTTGTTATAATAAAAATACTGAGGCCAACTATTGGGGATAGGTCAAACAAGCAGGAGAGGAACTCGTTGTTTCAGATTGGCAAAAGTGTGGCCATCCTGACACCACTGTTAGGCCTCACCTGGGGATTTGGCCTTGCCACCGTCATCAAAAACAGCCATGAAGCTTTCCACATCCTCTTTGTTCTGCTGAATGCTCTGCAGGTAAGTTACACATATATAGGGTTTTGTTTCCTCTATGACCATTTAACATGTAGGGACGTTCTTGCAATGCTGTGCTTTGAGGGGAACAAAAACAGCTTGGGAAAGCTCAAGTTGCCTAACACATCCTTATTGCCAAAGGCCTCTTTGGGAAACCCATTCCAGGAATTCAGCCGTATTTCATATTCTCAGCTGCCTTAACAGATGGGCCTTAAAGATAAAGCTGACATAAAGATAAGTTCCAACTTTGCCAATAGCTTTGGGAAGAACTTCATTCCTGAAGATGAGGAAAATAGCCCTATTCTGTTCAGGTGGGCAGGCTTCTGGTCTCATGCACAGTGCATCTAGAGGCATCATATTATGCTCTTGTGGGTTCAGGTAATGAGGGAGTATAAACAACATGAAAGTCACCAAGAACAGCTGAGTAGTACTAATAATAAAGAGAGGAATTGACCAAAATACAAATGATTGAGAGTTTTCAGTCAGTATGATTTTTACAACATATCTAGGTGGCCAGTAGGATCCCAATACAATGGGATTTCTTAAGGACACAACAGTTATGTCTACTCTGTCTCTTAAGAATGGTATCAAAATTCTACGCTTCAGACCGAACTCCCTTGCCTTTTATATTGTGAACCTGCTAGCTTATCTGGGGAGCATAGGCAGGGCATGTCTTCCATACACAAAGGTCCCTCCTTCCAAATATGTTTAGTGCTAGCCAACTAGTTGTGTCACTTTTGTAGACCAGTTATACACACAGTCTAAATAAGCCAGGCCTGGAGATCTCCTACCACATCAGCAGCCCGTTATGTGAGACACTGTCAGAAAAATGCCCTCTATCAAAGAGTTCCAATAGTCAGCACGGACAGTGTTTGAGATAATTATGAGGTACTGCAATTAAAGGGTTGTTGTCATCAAACTGCATGTAATTATCTGTCTCCTAGGGGTTATTCATTTTGGTGTTTGGGACACTCTGGGACAAGAAGGTAAGAATTCAAACTATTTCTTGTATTATGTGAAAATACTGTTGGAATTTGAACATAGTTCCTGTATTTACTGATTGATTATTTTTTTTTTAAACAAATAGATACAAGAAGGCCTGCTGAAGAGGAATTCAATGTCCAAATGGAGTTCACAGCAAACAAAGGTTAGAACCTCAGCCTAAGAATGTATTTCAGTTACTGCTGAATAATCTAACATTCTCCAAGTGTTTTTTAAGTCAAATGCACTTTATATTCTGAATTATTTCTTAGAACTAGTCAGAGAAAGAGAAGACACTAACAACATAAATATGAATATATACCCTTTTCCAAAGTTCATAATTTCACCTATAATTGGTAAAAAATGAGAAGGAGGTTGGTGGACATTTACTCTAAATTCCCCAAGAAATAAACCACAAAATATAACTGAAACGTTAAGTTAGAAAACAGAAAATTTCACTGGCACTATTATTTATTCGCAACCTAAGAGAAATGCGAAGGGAACTTCTTGGGGAAGATGCTCTTCAGCTATGAGCAGGAAAAGATGGAGATATTGCAACTTGAACTCATGAGACAAGAAGACAGGTTAGTCTCCACTTTATGTTGGGAACAGAAAATGGGAAGAAGTATGAATCTGTTGTCAGAATCATGTCTCTATGTTGCAAAGACTCAGATTTTAATGAGCAAAAGAAAGAACATAAATGAATGTGTTTCTGGAACCAAGTGGCCTGGACACATTCCTAGAAGAGGAAAGGCTTGGGTCCCATACCCAGAAAATTCCTGCATTTAACTCAAAGCATTCAGTGCCTAAAAAAAAGAACTAATGTTGCAAACAGAGACTGGATCCTTAGGGAAGATCCTGGAAGGCTTCTCTTCCATCTGCAGTGACTTTCTCTGGCCCAGTGACTCTTGCACCAAGGATGGAGACTCTACAGTCTCTCTGTATAGCCTTTTCCTGTGTTTGACCACCCTCACAGTGAAAAAGTTTCTTCTTAAGCGTAATTTCCTGTATTTCTATTTGTTCCCAACGCCTCTTGTCCTTTCACTGGGCACAAACAAGAAAAGTCTGGCTCTGTCTTCATTTCCACCACCTCTTATCCTTTTACTGGGCACCAAGGCAAAAAGTCTGGCTCTGTCTTTACTCCTTTCCAGTCAGATGGCCCCAGCATGTCCTGGTGCATGGGGTTGTTCCTCCCCAGGGACAGGAGGACTTTGCATTTCCCTTTGTTGAATTTCGTAAGATTCCTGACATCCCATTTCTCCAGCCTGTTGAGGTCCCTCTGTATGACAGCAGACTCGTCTGATCTATCAGCCACTCCTTCCAGTTCTGTATCAGTTGCAGACTTGGTGAGGGTGCATTTTTCCCATTATCTATATCATTAATGAAGGTGTTAAACCAGTATTCGACGAGGTACTGACCTCTGTGCATGTCCTCTCCAGCAACATGCTTAAGGCCCTGGAGGAGGCAGCCCATGATTAGCCAGGCAGAGCAGTGCTATAAGTTTTAAGTGCTCCAACCAACTGCCACGTTCAGATCTTGTGTCAGGACAAGACAGGAAAGATGCAGCTTCTGCCTCACGTTTCTTCATTTAGGGTCACCAGAATCATCCACCTGGATTTTTTTTAACTGGTACTCCAGGTATTCCAGTGTTTTCTGCAGGAGGATTGGTTCCCAAACCAAAGTCTGGGAACATTTCCTAGTGCATTTTTAAAGCGCCATTCCGTCTTTCTGGCTTGAAAATGACATCTGTTGGATGCGGTGCTATTCCGACTGTGGGAAAAACTCCTTTTTTTCCCAGGAAACTGGAAGGAAGGCAGGAATAACTGATACAACTATCATTAAGCATGTCAGTTTCTTCATTCCCTCCTGCACTGACACACCCGGCAGAATAAAGTAGAGAGAACAAGTTGTTAAGTCTTGGACCCCAATTCAGAATTCCTTTTCAGACAAAATCTCCTGGACCAGACACTTCCAACACTAGTTGACACTGTGGAAGCTGCCCCAGGCAGTGGGAATTGGCATATTTCTTTGGCAGTTCTGCCAGCAAAGAATAAATAAAGCAAGATCGAAGTCTTTGATCAAACTTTTTAGATGTGATTAATTTACCTTCTTCCTCTACCGCCTTATAAGTGACAATGCACAAAACTGCCTAATTTCCCCCACCATGGTACAATCTAATGAACAGAGAGGGACTGAACAGAAAAAGAAGTGTTTTCCATACTTTTTTTTTTAACACATCTTTTGGAGGAATCCTATTAAATTCTCAAACCACCCCAGAACTGAAAAAGAAACTTCATTTTAGCAGCAAAACCTTTCTTCCTTCCATCTGGACTGTAGAGTGTTGTGTTCCAATGCCCTCTAGTGTGTCAAGTTAAATTTGTCGCTGATTATCTCAGTCTGTTGGCCTTCAACGACCATCCCCAAGCATATAAATCTTAGCTTTTCTGGCTACCTCAATGCATAAACTCCCATAGATAAGGGACCAGAACTCTGTACTGTCTCATATGACAGGCTCTGGAGCCTAAGCTATTTTCCCTGGCCAACAGTTAGAGACAGGCTGTTTGTGTCCTGTAGTTTCTTTTAAGGTTGATCTCCTTCATCACCATCATAAACACGCAAACGCATGAACTTGACGCCTCACAAACATCTAGCTTGTCCTTCTGTAGATTGCCTGCTTGTACTACTGAACAACATCTTATTGTAGCCTTTTTTCTCCCCCTCAATGTGGCTACAAAGAAAGTTCTAGGCTTGTGATAAAAAACCAATTTTCTGTCTTACAGTCAAGCTCCCTGATCCTGGTGACACCAATGCTTGCCATGAGCTATCCATTTTCAAGAACCTTTAACAACTTATGTGGGAAAACAGGTATGTGACAAGAGATCTCTCCTACTGAAGCACAAACAAGGTTTTGCCTGCATTTTCACTCTCAGGGTCTGTCTATCCTGATATCTATCAATCTATTTGTCTATCCATACATCCATAGATGGTATTTAATCTTCTAATACAAAGGAACAGTATGTAATAAGTTATTGGAATCACTAGCATAATTGCTCATGATTGTAGCATAATGCTAGGAGCGTAATTGTCTAACACTAAAACAAGTATTGGATGGTGGCATGTCTCACTAATTCTAACACTCACTAACTGAGCTTTGTTTTGAGCTTGATAATATCATGACACACTGCCCCTCAGTTCATTTACTGTTCAGGTACTCTTCACCACCTTGGGGCTGTATCTCTTCAAAGGTTCTCTGGCTTGTCATTTCATGGATGTCACCATTTTGGTTGTGACTTTATTTTGCAAGAAGTGTTGCTGAAAATATGAGTAATTTCATTCCTAAGTGTGTAATCTTTGCATCCAACCATTTCTCAGAGAAGATAGTGACATTTGGTCAAAGTGGGATATGAAGGAGTTTAATGTAGGCAAGCAACTGCTTTTTAAGAGTGTGTTTATTAGTCAGATGATAATGGAACAAGAAGTTGGTCTCTGACTCTGCTACAGTAAGTTTACATGAGTACAGTAGCCAGACACAGAAGGCTACCACCACAAGAATGAAACATGCCCACAACTGCTTCCCATGCTGCTGCCACCTGAAACTCCCATATTATTAGCACTCTCTTCCACACTCTGTTTTCGGGCACTGTGCACCTGGGTCTTAGTTTAGAGCCTTGTGGTCACAAAAGGGAGGGAGCTGAGATTCATCTCAAGAGCATGTGTTCTAGATTGCATCCCCATGCTCAAGGAGAACCACTAAGTCCCTCCCTTTGTGTGAGGAAATTACTACCCTATGGCATGATCATCTGGTCAAGCTGACATATCCTGGCTGTCTCACCAAACACAAAATTGACTTCTGTGGTTGCTGGTATTGCTGTAACAACCCAGCTAATATCAGGGCTGCAGACCAAGTCAAAGCCACCTGGGTCATCAGGACGGGTCTAACTGTCCTTTGCAATGCCAACATATCCCAGGCTATCTGTCCTTATGTCTAACCACTATGCTTTGTTTTACAGGAAAATACAGAGTATCTTCTTCAGAGCCATCCAGCTCTTCCTCTGAAAACACTTCCAAGTCATATTCTTTGCTTAACTGAGGCACTGCAAATGCTAAATTATATAACTCTGAAAGGACCTCTGCCCTTTCCAAGACAAACATGAAAAGTACCTGTGAGTCATCAAGAAGTGAACTGCTTCATTTTGACTAAACTGTGCCTTGGTGCATTCTTCTGGAATAATCATTTCTGGTTAATGTGTAAGGCAGGGAAGCTTTGAGATGTGGAATTTTACAGGGACTGCCAATCCCAGAAGAGATGAGATGTTTCAAACTTGGAGGGATTTGAAGGCCTTCAAGTGCTGGAAAAGAGACTGGAAGTGAAGAATTCTCAGCCTTTAAGAGGGTGCTTAGCACTATGCAATACTGAGCCATGAATTGCAGTGCTATACACAGCTGTTGTCCAGTGGTTTTAGTATTTCCCCTATCAACTGTCTGAATAATTCCAAAGGCCTGTGTAGATACACAAGTACCTCATAGCTTCTCTCTTGCCCTCGTGTTAGAGTCTGGAAAGGCCATAGGGTATAGTGCTCTCCACTTTCTATTTAAGACTTTCTGGAACCAAAGATTCACAACTGAGAAGGGCCATTTCAGATCTTCACTATTGACTTAGATAAAATGAAGACCGTGATGATTCCTGCATGGTCTTCTTTCAGATGGAATGTACTGAAAGCTCCATGTGGCATTCTTTTTTTGAAGAAAAGGAAGCCTTATATCCTTAACTATAACTGTCCCTCCCTTGATATGTAACGTGGTAAGACAGAGATGGTTGCTGCCCTTTACTACAGAGGGGACTGCATTTATTTAATGCATAGTAGCGTTAAGTATGCAAGGAGTCTCTTGTGTAAAGTCTGTATGTTTGGGTCCCTTCTCAGAGGAGAATCACACTTGGAGGGCTCAGAGACTCAACTCTGCAGTGAATATAAACCACCATGTGCCAGGCAGGATGAAAGGTTTTATATAAATTATTGCTCTAATACTACATTTGTGGAATCAGTTATTTCCAAGCCATATACCTTTAAAGGCAGAACTCCTGTCTTAAGCAGAGGGCTATGAGAGAGCTTGCAAAGTATTTACAGCACACACAAATATTACAAAACTTAATATAAAATATGATAGATGGAATCATGAAGATTTAGATGTGAGTCCAATATCAAATACTGCTGTCAGGTGGTACAGCCCCACTTGGTTGTTGGGGAATCAGGCCTATATTTACCAGTGGTGAACCTGTTACCAGGACTTTGGGATGAACCAGGGTGGGAAACTGATGCCTACAATTACAGGCATGTGTGACGGTTTGGTATGGACAGGTAGTGATGACTGAAGACAATAAACAAGCATCAATCAAATTTATTATTTATATTGAAAGCAATTTCTTTTTGCATGGAGATGTAGATATAACACTAGAACTAGAACACAGTTAGAGATTAAGAAATATTTGAAAATCTAGAATCTCTTTGAACTGCATGGCCAGAGGAAACTTGAAAATCAGACCTTCGCACATGATTCCAACCAAAGTTTGCCTTTGGATAGCCATTTGGTCTAACTCTCTGTGGAAGTAGCTTGTGCAATATTGACCTGCTGCAGAACCATCCGCTCCCACTGAACTAGAATAGGCTTTACTATAAAGTATGAGTCCCTGTAGACAGCAGAGTCCCACCACACCTTATCTCTGCAGGCATTTCATCTGCGGTTTCACCACACCTCCCAGTTTAGCTAAGCCTGGGTCTCGACTGTATGTGAATGAGAAATCAGGACATGATGCCAAGCTGTCTGGCACTAAAGGGCCATCTCTGGGTGGATCTTCAAAGGCAAGGTCCTTGCCAGTGTTAGGAAAGCCATGACAATTCATGAAAGAGAAGCAGCTAAGAAATGAACTGTGCCAGTCTTAAAGACTTGGGGCCAAGGCTTCACTCGTATTTATACACACATCAAGATAAAAGGGGAGAGAAGACAAAGTAGAAGGGAGTGCTGAATGGAGGAAGAAGGGGGAACACAAGGCAGCAACCACACTATACCCCTCCCACCCATGCCTAGGAGCAAGAACAAGGTCTTTGGCACAGGCAAGGTGGGCAGTGGGCTCACCAACAGCTTGCTCCCCTCAGGACTCTGGCATTTTGGGCAGCTGACTTTTTTTTTGTCAGCTGGCCCAGTCCTTCCCTTTGTCCTGATCAAAGCCCAAATCCCTCCATTCACCTCCCTTCCTGAAGTCAGGGCTGTCACAGGGCTTGTTTCCTGATGATCGCTGTCATTCATGTACCTCCCGCTGCTTAACTGCAAGGCACTAAGTTAAAGCACATTGCAACAAAAACCTACAGTTGCTGAACAACTCTTACATGTGCTTCAAGCCCAGATTTCACCCTTCATTCTTTAAGGACTTTGAGAACCTTCAATACAAACAATGCAAAGAGCCCAGGACCATTTTAACCACACTACAGTGGCCAGTGAAAATCAATGTGCCCCAGAACTAGGGTTTACAGGTGTGCAGTTCTGGTAGCTTTTCTTTAGACCATGAAGCCAATTATGCTCTTACCTCTGATGTCTTCATGGCTCAGCAGTCTGGCCAGCATGTTTACTTCTTACACTGTCCCAGGAAACACGTTCAGGCAACAGCTGCATTGTGGAAAAGTCAAGTTAAGCAAGAATAAAAAGCCGCTCCTGTGGCCCATGTACAAAGTGCCCAATATGTAAGTGTATTGGGTCTGGCTGAGATGGAGTTAATTCTCCCCATAGCAGCCCTCGTAGTGCTGTGCTCAATAGAGTAAGGTATGTGCAACTGTCTGTTTCCCTGTAGCACCTGTGACCTCAGTTTGGTTTTGTTAATCCCATGAGCAGAAGAAATTAGGTCCATTTCTTACAGGCTTATGTCCCATACCCACCAACCTCCTTCCCTTTCCAATCACCCGAGTTTCCATGGTCTTCCTCACATACCCAGTCCTCACATACCTCTGTCCCCCACAATTAGGGCCTCCCTAAACCTCCCCTCCCATACACACAGTACTTTCTGCCCATGTAACCTCCCTCACCCGCGCTGCTGCCAGCAGCTGGTAGGAAACTGGGTGTGCTGTGGGGAGGGCAGAGCCACAGAGGTGATGAAGGTCTAGCTGGGGCTCACCAGGGGCTAGCACGGTCACGTTCTGCCCATCCCTCTCTTGGTGGCAGCTCTAACAAGCTCTACCAGCCATCAATACTTGACGTACACTTGTTGTTGCAGAGAACTTCCCTGAGGCTTTTGGTCCTCAAGAGCTAACAGGGTTCAGTGCTGTTGAGAAGACATGGGGCTGACAGGCAGACTCGCTCAGGGACCATGTCATTTCCTTAGTACTTTCCCATTAGAAAACCAGGGATAAAGCATACGATACAATCTACACCAAATCTAGGATCAATTCTTCTAATTTGCACTCTTTCCGAGTTCTTTTCAGCTTTTTCCTTGGGATAAGTAGTGCTAATCCTCCCACGGCCTCCTCTTGGATCACTCCTCCCTTTCTCCCACCTCTTTGCAGGATAACAAACGGTGTACACCTCAGCACGTCGGTTTGTTGTTTTTTATCGGGTGGGAAGGAGGCTTTCCCTTCCAACCCACGCTGCGCCGCGGGCTGGCCCAGGCCGCTTGGTCCCTTCCCTGTGTGGCAGCCCCCTGCCACGGCTGCAGCCTTTCCCAGGCGGTAAATAAAACAGCCATGTGGGTCAAATGAGAGCTCGCAGCATTTTTTCCGCTTGCCGCTGGGCAGGAGCAATGATTCAAAGCCGTGCTCTCAGGAGAGGGTCCTGGTTGCCCCTGTTCCAGCACTGCTGCGAGCGTTGCCCGAATCTTTTAGCCTATGCTGTCCCCAAAGCCAGGCAAGCCAGGGTAGAAAAGAAGGAGTCTGTCCGCAGCCCTCCCTGCAGCAGCGATGGCCAGCCAGCCCTCCAGTGACAGCCTCTGCCTAACTGGGCATCTGCACCAGCCAGCCACACTGGGAAGGATGAGGTGTCTTGAGAACAACAAAGAAAATAGGCGTCCATGAGGACCAACTAGCTCCAGTCCCAGCCTTGGAGGAGGAAACCACCACAGAAGAGCCGGCCCACTGGGATGCTCTGAAGCGTTAGAAAGAGGCTCCACTGCTTACACCAGCAGAAGATCTGGCAGTGGGGTGGGGGAGCGGAGAGATGTGGGGTTGTTTGTGAGCACCCAAGTCATTTGGATGAACTCTGCACTGCCCCAGAAATCACTGCGGAAATATTTTCTACCCTTCTACCCCATGGAGTCTGGTCTACAGAGCTTGTTTTGCCCTGGCTGAGTAGGTGAATGAGGCAGGTTCACACCCTTCAATGACACCATCGCTGATTAGAAAACCCACAAGAGACAGGGCAGGCACCTTCCTTGAGAGTAACTGCTGTGACAGCTCTTCCTAGGGGACATCCTAAGCTTGGGGCTGGGAACTGGCAAATCTACGCTTGCTTCTCTGCTCAGCCAGCCTGAGCTGTGCCTTTCACATCTCTTCCCTGTAGCCAAGAGCTACAAGCAATGCTGACAACACTTGGTGGCACCAAAGGATCTTCTGTAGGTTACACGGATCTTTTGCAGGATGTGGTGCCTGCCTTCCCAATGATCCAGGTCTCCAGTCTCCGTTACCTTGGACCACTGTTGCTTCCAGTCCAGTCCTGTGAGATAAAATAAGTGGGTAAGGCAGGCAAGATATCAGCAGCTGCAAACCCATGCCAGGATTGCAGGTCTGTAACCCAGCTCCACCGCCCGTACAGGCCTGGGGCATACAAACAAGACTGACTGATGTTCTGTACTGAAAACCTGTGGGTGGAGGTTAGAAAGGGATTTGTCATCCCACAACAGAATCCTCACTTCTTGTGCAAGTTAAGCAAAGGACAATTAGAAACACAGTTCTTTGCTTTTAGGAAAACAAATCCCCTATGAATAGGAAACAAAGACCTACACATGCTTTGGCCACAAGCAAAAACCACCAACACTTCAGCTACTGTTTATATTTGCACACAAAGCAAATTTTTTCCTTCATGCAACACAAGTATAAAAAAAAATCTCATCTACAGTTTCCAAAAAACACTTCTCTAGAGAAATTCCAGATGGCAGGTCAGGCTTATTATAGTCCTTCTCCTGGGGGTTCAGATTTACGGGACCTTCCTAGAACTGACCTGGTATTCAGAGGCACAGACAAAACAAGGTCTCAGGCTGGAAACTACAGTTAGCCAATGCTTCTGGGCATCTTCAGTACAGGTCTATTTAAGGAGCCTAAATATAGATTTTAAGAGCCTTAGAAACTCATGCTTTCAATATTCTGCTCCAATGACTGTGGCAAAGCTGCCTTTATTAGACATGATATTTAAGAGAGCCAAGAGAGGCTGTCAGCTACATCCTATAGTGACTGAACACAGAAAGTATACGAGTTAATTGTAATGCAGACACACTGGAGAGAGGAACTGTCTAAAACTACAGTGCTTAGCAGCTGACTTTTCCTAAGCTTGCAGCTCATGGGATGAGTGCAGCATTTGCACTTGGGAAACAATTTACACCCTGATGATTGCTTTTATTTGAACTCCAGGAGTTCCAGAACACTGCACTTCACCTGTGGCCATGGCAACTCTTAGCCATTCCCATGGTGATTTCCAGGATCAACTCAGAAGCAGGAGAAGCCAAAGATATGAACCACGAGCCTACATTAAAAATGGCTGAGTTAACCCAGCTTGGAAACCAACACAGGAAAGACCAAACTGCTCTCTGAGGCTGTCCTTCTTTTTGTGAGATGATTTTCCCCAACAGCAGTGAAACAAGTAGTTGGCCCAGCAACAACTGTAGTTGATTTTGCTGCTCTATTCAGAGCTTTATCCAGCATTGATCAGTGGCATGTCTTGCCCACAATAGCCTTGCTCTTTTGCTAGTAAGTAACCAGGTGTCCATTTTCAAGCAACACCGACTGCCCAACATGGATTTTGCCACTAGTACAGAGAAATCCTGTATCCTGGAGACGTAGACCCTAGGAAATGAAGGAGCAAGCGGTGATGCTTAGCTGCAAAGATCCTGGAAACTGTCTAAGAAAATTAAGTTGAACAATGTTTAGGGGATATTTGGAGCACTTGTTGCAGATGATAGAGCATCCCAGTGCACCCAGTACGAAGCCCAGTGGGTAGTAAAACAAAGCACTTCGATTGGGAAACGAGGAAGAGCAAGGAAGTAAGCAGGCTCTGAATAGGTTCTTTTGGGCTTCTCCTTCGAAAAGGGGCAGATACTGGAATATTTGTAGAGAATGACTGCAGCTATACTCTTGAGGTGTTTTTTTCTCCACCAACGTGGTGCTCTGAACTGTTACTCTCGGGATGAGGAGCTAGTGGGGCTAGGGTCTTGCCGAGGGGCAACTAGGATGCATTCTTCCTCCAGTGCAAAAGCTCAAAGTATCATCCAAAGGGAGCAGGGCCAGTCTCTCTCATCTTTCCCAACTATCACATTCTGCTGCCAGCAGGCTCTGAAGATGAATGAGAGCAGGGCAAAAACCACCTTCCTGATGTGGGGAGAAGAAATCCTTCCAGAAGGTCCCAGATCCAGCAGGACATGAAGGAGCATCCAGCAGATCCCAGTAAGGCCCTTCAAGGGGGCAGGACATGTCCCAGACATGGAGTGGACAGGGGTTTTCTCTTTCCTGGAGGAGAGCAGCTCCACCTCCTTCTCTTGGGACTGGGGACAGACTTTTATTCCCAGGTGTCAATAGGGAGCCAGAGCATCAAGCAGGGCCCAAGTGCACCCAGTATCACCTGCTGGGACATCCTCTGTGACTGGACACCATCACAAGTTCCCCTGGCAGAGTGGAGTCAGTGTGTGTTTTGGCAGAGGGTGAAGACCTGGGCTCTGTCTACACAATTAAACTGAACAGTGGCAGAGCCTACACATGTTTTTGGAGTGAGTGGTGACAACTTGCAGTCTTATTCTTGGTGTCCTTTTACTCTAGGGACACCAAAATTATATGCAGGATAACACTTAACTAGGACTTGCCTGGATCCTATCTGTCCTTGGCTTTTCTGTCTCACACATTAACTAGCAAGCTGCAACGTGTAATTTTATTCATCTTTATAGATCTCTTGTCTTTCATTCCATAAACCTGCGTAATTTATAAGCTTGTCAACTTGGGTGGGAGACTCCTTTGACCCAAAAAGGAGTCCCCTAATCCAGCTGCCAGAAGGTAATAAGATCTGTAACTGCTTGTGGTGAGGTCCAGCCAGATGGTCAAAAATGTTCCAGGAAGTGTTTGTTTTGATTTTATTCTAGATGCAGAGAATAAGAGGGACAGAGTATTAACTTGCTGATAATGCCTTAATTAAATGGATGGTTTGTCCCTACTGACAGGACTGGTGTGAGCACCAGGATGAATCCAAGTGTAAAAACAAATGGAAAACAGTTCCCTGTGTACAACCTACTGCCATGAGAGTGCATTTTCCCTTGGCTGCCATGCCTTGTGACAGGTATCTGATAAATACAAAGATAGCTTCACCCTCTGCGATTATTTACCATTTGAATTCTGAATTCTTTCTGATCTGATATGCAGACAAGAAGAAACTGCTTTTGGAGGAAACCTGGATAACAAAGTTTCAAGAGTGGAAACTGTTAGAGCAGTGAAAACAGGGATCTTGGGACATACTAGATAGGTTGCTCCCTGCCATCTGCAGTAAGTTGTAGGGTGTTAACACCTTATCCAGCACTCACCGGTATCACATACCCAGTCTTCATCTTCCTACACTCCCACCCCTCTCCTTGACTTGTGATTTCCAAAGGGATATGAATTTAATGGTAACTGCTACAGATCCAATCCTATAACTGGTGATCTGCTCCAATTTCATCCACTGCCTGCTGAAATCAAGGGAGCTTTATAGATGTTTAAAAGAACTTTGGGTAATGCCCAGAGAATAGATTTACACTCGAATGTTTGAAAACCTTACGTGATTATGCTATCTAGAAAGACAACTAGCTTTAATGTGTAATTATTTCCATGCTAGAGAATTGGCCAAAAATATGTAATAGTAGTTTACTATGAATTCTATATAATAGCTCATCAGCTTTTGTAAACCAGCACTGCTCCACGGAAAATGAGTATTGATGTACTGATTTACATAATTATGGATTTGTAGCCTTTAGATTTCTTGAGTAATTTCTACAGGAACATTTCTAGAATCTTAATATATGTGCTTCTGTGTGACTTTTTCCAGTGTTTTGAGAGGTCCTACCAGTTATCAAATCTAAGTTTGAACTGTGATTGAGAGTAAATGCATGGCCTTTCAGCACTACCACTTGCTATTGGATGAAGAAATGAACCATTCAAAGAATAGACAAGAGAGGCAGGGTATGAACTTTTAGGATGTTCTTTAACTGCCAAGTCCTACAGAGTAAACAGATTGCTGCCAAGATGTTGATAGAGCATGTCATCCATTTGCTGACTGGTCTTCTACAAGTTGTATTCATAGCTTTTCACTGAAAACTGGTGTCTTATGAACTATGGAAAAATACCAGGCTGAGCTTTATCCTGCTGCAGCTCTTTATCTTCTAGCCATCAAGGAAATGAGGACAATGGTTAAGACAATGGTTCCAGCAATTCCACCAGCTGTCATTCCCAGGATGCTCCCATGGACCTGTCTTGACTGACACCTCTCACCGATAAAGAAGAAGGCTTGTCCTGATGGGCACCTGGGAAAATAAAGTACAGATTCACATGGATCAGGACTTTTGTCCTGCTTTATAGTCCCACCTCAAGGTCCTCACGCTCTCTGTCCTGGATGGGCAGGTCCCATTAGAGCAGTTCATGTCACAACATCCCCACCTTGTTTGGAGGCTTTTTACATCCCCTGGAAGCACCACAGAATGGAGTTTCTTTTCCTCCCCTTATGGCTGCTGGTAGAAACCAGTCACTGCAGTGAAGTGTTTAGTTCCTACTGTTCCTTTGCAAACCTAGTGGCTCAGACCTCTGAGGTCTGTAGCTCTGAATATTTATTAGCTGCATCATTTGGTTCAGAAGAAAGTCAAGGCAAGCAGGGAGGAGGTCCGTGGTACCTGCAGCTTGCTTTCCCTTTCACATTCACACAGACCCCGTCATTCTGGCAAGGGTTTGGGTCACACGGGTCTTGCAGATAAGGCAGCCGGTCTTGAACGGGCTCCATATCCTGGGCTGCTCTCTTCTGCCTTTCAAGAATGAGGCCTTCCATGAAGGCAGATTGTTCCCGTTTGACAGGGACTTCAGTGTTATTGAGGTGAATTAGATCTTTTAAAAAAGGAAAGAGAGGAGAAAGACATCAGATAACAGTAGGGATGCTATATGTAGTATTCTTCATACCAGGGGCTCACAGGGTGCTTGTGGACCAGCGGCTACTCCTTGTCCATTTTCCCTTTACAGAGCTCTTGCTGTACCACAGCGAGTTCTGCATATTTAAAGCACAAGATAGAAAACAATACTGAAATTATGGTAACTAGTTAGATAAATCAGTGGTATTCTGTACTTAGAAAAATTATGCCAAGTGTGGCTGTTCTGTTTGAAAATAAACACCATGAGGAAGGCCTTTTAGTATGTTCAATGCTTAGAAATGGACATAGCTACTGGTTAGGGTGCTTAAAGATATCTATGAAGTTAATCTTTAGTAAATCATTGCCATTTAGATTCCTCTGAATTCACAATCACTTTAGTCAACATCACCCATCTGAAGCTAAGACACAGAAGTGCTTTTAAAAGCTGATACCCATTAGAAGATGACTCAGAGACAGGTGGCAATAGTTACTTGAATGTATGAAAAGAGATAGAAAGGATCACCCATTTGTTTTTGTAAGAAGAATCAGGAAGAAGGTCTTTACCATTAAATTCTGCAAAAATAATCAAGTCATCATTTTTCAGGAAGCTTCTCCGTCTCATCTGTCTGTGGGATATGAAGTTAGTCCACCCCCATGAAACACTTCTATAACAATTGCACGAGGCATCAAATTTTCCAGCAATTGATGGTTTCTCCCATATTATGGTTCCATTAGCATCTGCAAAGAGAATATGAGTGATGAATAAGAACCACAAAGTTCTGCAGCTGGAAGTATGACATGACTTTTTTCTGCATTACAGTGTTAAAGAGGATTTATGCTGTAAAATCAAGTTCAGAGCTGAAATGCCCAAACTAATCACAGAGGAATGACAAATTATGGGTGCCAGCAGATGTTTAGATGTGGTCTGCATGAGGACTCCTAGTCTATGTGAGGGCACTGAAATTCCACAAATCCCCTTTCATTGAGGATTAGCCAAATTCAAGTTACCTCCTTGTTGTCACCAGCTAAGAGCTCCCTCCTGTGTAGGGACACTCCCTCTTCAGTTTTTAAGTACCTGTGGTTTAGAGTGTCATGGATTTTGTTCATTGCTATGGTTCTGTTAAACACAGTCATACCTAAGGTTTAAAACCTCCTACTGAAAGAGTGTGTACTAAACTTCCACTGGAAAAAAGTAAAGAGGGATGGAGATTCATCCCTAGTATTTTATTCTGTACCAAACCCAGTATTGTCCTGTTGTTCTTATTTCTTTAAATTAACACATCCATGGAAAATCCTAGGGCTGGATGTGGAACTACAGTGCTACATGCTATATAAACCTGGAGTTAAAAGGTAGTCCCTTTCATAACCTGCAGTGTACACCCAGCCAAGTAAGACAGGCTTCAAATGCTGCAAACTGATCTCACAGGTATTTTCAATTTTGTTTTTTTCTTAAATACAGCTACAGTGTGAATGTTGTGCATTCAGACCATGTATGTTCAAGTTAACCAAGCCTCCAAAATGCAGTTTTAACTTCAATTATTGTTGATTTAGTAATGGAATACAGCACCCTGCTGGCGTTGCACCATCCTGTGGTGATATGTCACCTACCATAATGGGCAAACCACAGGTAGAATGGGAATTTCCAGCTCTTAGGAGAACTCTGTATTTAGAGACAAACTCAGATATCCCAGGGATTGTTCATAATAACACCAACCTTCCATGCATCACTTTCCACATGAGATGATCTTTCACAGACAGGAATTCTGAGTCATTGACAGGAAAGTGCCCCAGATTGGGAAATGTAGCCAAAATTGCCAAACTCTGAGCCCTACACTCAGCCCTCTGACTCAGATTCCTTGGTTTTCATTTTCATCCTTCCTCCAGGCAGACCCCACTTACCTGAGTTAAGATGGTCTTTGCTTGTGGTGAAGCTTTTGCTTGAGGACATCCTTTTCAAGACATCAGGGTCCTGGTCCAGCACTGTGAGTACAGCTTGGCGGTTCAGAGCTGGCCACTCCAGGACACCATCGTTCTCTCCACTGCACAAGTGAAAGGCAACCCGAGTGTAGCCACTGATGCTGGAGTGGGGATGCAAACTTATGCCAAACCCATAACCCTCGGGGCTATAAAACCGAGGGCTTTGAATAACATCACTTGATGTGTTTTTGAGGATTTGGCTGAAATTCCGAATGACCCACACAGCTGTGGGACAGGGGATCTCTGTCAGTGTGACATCATCGATAGCAATCCCACCAGTTGAAGAGCTGGAGTTGCCCTTTAGTCCTTGGAAGAGGTAGCGGAACTTATTCTGAGCGTTGAGGGTTACGTGGGCAATTTTCCAGTTATAGTCATTATCCGCTTTGGTAAAAGGAAAGCAAAACATTGCCATCAGCATGACTAGTGATGTTATGAAGCAGCTTATTCCTAGCCACCCATTCCAGCTGCATTTTTAGACAACTAGACCTCTCACAGAGTCCTGAAGGCTAGAGATCTTACGTTGGTATAGTGATTATAGTATACTCACATTGCATTATCAGCTAAATGCTTTGGACACATTGTATTAGGAACCCAAAGTGGGAATTCGGTTCACATTTCCAAAACTACACATGTTTTTTATATTTCCAACCATATAAAAATCAGGCTGGGATTCTTATTGATTGCAGATGAGCATAGGTATTTACATCTGAACAGCTCGCTGTTAGATCATATAACAGCCAGTGGAGATCTAGTCAATTATCTCCAGTAGAGTTTGGGGTCCCACACACTCACTAAGTGTAACATAACATTATTAGGAACATGGTGAATTCTGCTGTGGAACACCTAAATTACATTATTACAACCCACAGTTTCACTGCTAAATGCCCTCACGTAATACCAAAATCCTTAGCCGAATTGCAAGATATTCTGGTAGCTTTGGGAAAATCTTTTGATTTCTGAGCCAATCCACTGCATTCATGGACTCAGTAAGATGACTTTTCCTCCCCTAATATTCTACATATTCCTCATATTTCCAGAATTACCTTGAAAGGTTTGAATTTTCCTCATCTTGCGAACATTTCCAGTGCCATCATCCTCTTTAAGCCAGATGACCAGCTTGTCAGAAAGGCTTCCTGTCATCTTATAGAAGAACTGGAGGCACTGCTGAGTTCTCTTTGGATAAAGGATTCGAGACTCTAGGACTGCCACCTCACCTGCCTTGCCAGAGCTGGTGTTGAAGTACATGAAATAGCCAGCATCTGTGAAGAAAGTGCAGAGTGTCACTGCCTCTTTCCAGATTTCCTACCAGCTGTGTGGTGTAAATTTGTCATTTCAACTCCACTCTTTTAGTAGGCATAAGTACAGTACTTAACTATACTTATGTGCTTAACTGTACTTATGAATAGTAGAGGAAATGGTTTGTGATAACCATCCAAGACAGACCAGGATAAGAACAGGACTAGTAGTTGAGCGTATATATGGAACTCATTGCTGGCAGCTTACGTTAGTTTTGCATTAGTTAGTTTGGAAGTAGGATGCCTCAGGAAGAGGCATGTCAGAGATATGAGACGGAGGATTCAGTGCTGACTGCAAGTAACTAGTAGACATAGTTTTTTTCCTGATTTATACTGAAGTTAATCTAAAGATGAGAGCTTAGAGATCATATTCTATATTACCTTGTAAAGAGTAAGATAATTTCTTATCAGTGATAAAGATAACAAAAAAGGGTTGGACACAAAACTAGCAGTGTCCTGACCTTGAACATGAAGAAGCTCTTTTTTTACAGCTTGCCCGAAGACATTTCAAAACTCAGCTTCTCAGTTTGGGGAAATTATTTAAGAACTCCTGCTCTTTTAGTTTAATTTCCCACTAACATTTTCTGAAGCGTTCTTTACTTTAGATTTGAAGTGTCACCTTTATCCTTATATTTACAAGGGATTCACCGTTTGCACACATATCTTATCTTGGTATCACATGAACTTGTCAAGCCTTATCTGTATTCTGTTGCTTTTTAGTTATTCATTATCATCTACAATTAAATTAACAAGTGAAATTCTTTTAGCTGTTGTGTGAAAGCTTCCACTGTTGGGGGCTGGTTCCTTGGACTCTTGTCTAGGGCATCATCAGTTAAACCTACAGCTCCATAAACGCAGTACAGCCTCCTGCATGGTTAGTGGAGCTGTTCCAGCTGTTTCTCATGTTCGCTCTAACCATGTCAGGGGAATATTCTCCGTTACCTGCCACACGGTAGCAATGCTTTGAACTCATACCCATAGAAACCTTGCCAAAGATACCCAATTGCTTTATGCACATGTATGACACTTCACCCTAAGTTAAATTTATGTTAAATTTAAGTGTGTTAAATACAAGTATGATCACTGTTGCTCCAAGTGAGAAACAGGGCTGTGAGCCTTATTAAGGTGCCTAACTTTGTTGTTGAACTTATTACGGCATCAAACCCTCAAATGGTCTAGACTCTACCTCTTTTTAGGTAACAAAATCAAGTAAAGGCAACATTAAGCATCTATGGCAATTAGAATATGGCCTTAGCAGTCATCAGCATAAGGATACAGGGGTCAAATCCAGAGCCAGGCTGCAAGCTCCTCTCTAAATGTTAGGCTGTACGTTCCCTCCTTCAGTTTAGTCAGTAATAAGTCAAAAACCCAAGACATCAAAACTGTTTGGGCAAAATATGGTCCATCAGTGTTAGAAACCTAAAATTTGCCCCCACTTGAGATGACTGCAGAACCAGTTCTCCAAAAATGTCTAAATTCCTGGTGGAGTCAATGACCCTTTGAAGGAGTCCAAGGGGAGAGGCACTCCCTACTCATGCAATTCATTTAGACACCCTGCAGATCCAGAGACACCTACCCCTCTCCATTAACTCTTCAGATAAATTTGATACTTATTTTGTACCGAGTCACTAGATGATAAAGCATAAGTGCAGGCTAAGTGCTTACTTCAGACAGATTGGATTTTACCTGATCATCTCAAACAAGTCAGCTGAATTATTTTTTATTTGCAATTATACTATATGGGGGGGAAAAGGAGAGAAAGGATTAAAAAATGCAGATGAGGGTTAGGAGCATGAACTTCTAGAAGCTGTCAGGTGGGGTTTTTGAGTTATATTGCATTCTTGGACCTGATCAACAAGTACCAGCATTATAAGAGGTTGAGGATTTGTTCTTTCCAGGGTGTGGATCACATAAGGGGAATAGTCTACTCCTGAGTGCAAGTCAAATTTTTCCTTTTTCAAAGAGTAACAAAGCACAACTGAATGTTCACTCTGTACTTAGGCGAAATTTACTACAGAATTCACATTTTTTTGGAAGTCTGTAGTAGTTTACCCTGTCTAAATAATGACAAATCAGGCCCTTGCTTTTCAGAACTGACTGTTGAGATTTAATCTTTATTCTCACTTGTAAGCAATCACCCTGCAACTGACTGGGGCCGACTCCACCCTTTCTGAGATTTTCTTCCTTTGAAAAATGGTAAAATTACCATGTGAAAAAGAAAATTATCCCTAAACTCCTATCATAAAATACTTTGCAACTTTCTTCTACCTCCAGAACCAGCTTAACTTATCATTCGCTTTGCAAACACAACATTTATGAGTGGCTCTGAGTGCTGTTTCATTCTTATCATGGGGTAACATAACTCTTACTCATACTTTGGAAGTTTCAGTAAATCCTTTTCCAGGTTATAATTCAAAGGCCTCTAGTTAATGTTGTACTTTGTCCCCTTTTATCTTGCTGGTGTGAACATTCCACTATGTTGAAAAAGCTTAATGAGAGCACAAGTGCAACTGTAAACTCACACTCACAGAACCAAGACACATGAAAAGTAAGGCTTTTTGCTTAACTAGAAACATTATAACTCTGATGTTTGCTGGGTAGTGTCTTAAATATGGTCATTTAATCCTGCGTTTTCAGAGTAGCCAGTGCTGGGTTTTCTCAAGGGTTGACTACAATGACAGGTTCAGAGAAGTTGTTAAAGACACTGTATTTAAAGCACACAGACCAGTACACGCATGCACAAGGGACCATTACCACTAACCCCTTTTCCACAGGTAAGTGTTCTGTTACTTCGTTTTACCTCTACAGCGCCCAGAAAGTGTGTGGTCTTCCTGCCCTGTAGCACTGCTCTTTTGATGGACCCAGTCTAGATCATCTCTGGTGCCCTGAATCATGCCGCAGATACTTTCAAACTCAAAAGAACACTGGTCCAAAAAAGTGTGAGTTGAAGCTGAAAAAAAATGCACACATGATTACCTCCAAAGAAGTATCTCATTAAAATTTCTGCTCTAATTTTGGGGGGTTTTGTTTACACTAGTATAGTCATCATGTAGAGAAGACAACCGACAGCAGATGTGAGCCCAAAGACTCAAAAGAGGAAATATTTGATTCCTGGAGGGATTCCCTGCATAAAGATAACAACACCTGACCACTTTGCAGAAGGTTAACAAACTCCTACACAGCAGCTGAAACACAGTGACTGATGGTGGTGGTCTTTGTGCCTGCTTGTAAGCCTTGGAGAGACAAGTCCCTTTGTGAACAGTGGTGGTGGTGTATTTAACCATTCCTCGGCTGGAGGTTATTGTTCTTCATGGCTCACTTCTCTGCTTGATGAGCATGAGCACTGTTCTTCCACTTCAAACAAAGTCCAACCAGTCACCTTAGGCCAGTTCAGCTGAGTTTGCCTGCAAGTAGATGCTTCTGTTGACAGATCCATGGGGACAATAACTTCTCACTACGATCACACGTAGTGGTAACATCTTCAACTGGCTTAGCAACCAACTACTGTGTTGGACTCTAGACTTAGCCAAGCTCAGGTGCAAAATAACCTAATTAAAACCAAATGTTGGTCAAAGAGGATAAAGTACCATTGCATTCATCTTACAAAAGCACAATGGAGCTGTCCACACACCAGCAGAACACAACCACATGTCTGAACCCCTAGGAGCAACGTGGAAGAAAAGATGTGAATGGATTGACTTTCATTGACTAATTGGAGTTTTGCAAAAGCGATGACAGTTAACAGAGCCAAAGAGACGGATGAGAAGGGAATAAATGGTTTTGGTCTCTACACCACTGGTTCTCTCCCATACCTCCTCAAGAGCACCTGAGAAGAGTTTTTGTGGTTTTAGAGACATTAGGGAGGTGAACCAGCCAGGCTCAAGTATAAACAAAGAAAGAGTTTGCCACAGTTAAATTATTACTTACTGCAGTTATACATGCGATTCAGTCTTTTCAGGTCAATGGCACTGATGTCTAGACGTTGTCCAATTATGTCATTAAATTCTGGTATCTTCGCCGTGATTGTGGGCTTGCTTTCATTTTTGTTAAATGAAAATGGTTCATAGTGCATCAATGATTCATAGTCATAGGGGGTGTTTAGATCAGTGATGTAGCTGTCATTGTACTTCAGAAAATTGTGCTCTTGGCCTGGTAAAAGAACAGAAAAGACCTTCATTTTTAGAGATTGGAAAGGAAACAGCTTTAGCACAACCCCTTGGATACAGTTTTCTGAGGCAGAATTGATATACCTGAAAGCAATTACTTTACAATAAAATATTCAAATTTAGCAAGATTTTTTTAATGAAGCCATTTGAACAACAAAGCAGTGTCTTTAGATTGCAGTTCTGCACCCTCACATGTGACTTCAGTAAGCTCAAAATCAAATATCAATGACCTGTAAAGAATGGGATATACAGGAGGTCAGATTAGATGGTCTAAGAGTAAGCACCCTGAAGGATTAAACTTAAGGATTAATGTACTCCATTCCAGAGCCTGTGAATATTGATGCAAATGTTTCCCAGGATATTAGGTCATACATGGACAAGGAAAGGCCCTGGAGCCCTCCACTCATTAAGCGGACAGGTATGACATTCTTGGAGTGCCTCCAGGTTCTGTTCTTCTTTGAAGCAAAGAATGCATTAGGAATCGGGGCGGGGGGGGGGGGGGAGGTTTTTACCCTAGATTGACAATATTGGTATGATATTTTTATTGAAATGTCTTTTGGAAACATGGTTCTCAGGGTTTCTTGGTGAAATAATTTGTCCTTACAGAAAGTTTTTCTTTATGAAGGTGTCTGCTAGGGCAGAGAGAAGGAACCATTTCACATATTTTGGTATGGAAGTAAAGAGAGATTACCAGCATCTCCAACTACAAGAAATATTTTTTGTATTTGGCAAAATACAAATATTCAGAATTTCAGAATATTTTACATTCTTTCTCCAAGAAGAAACAGCACATGACTGTGCTGGTGGATAATTACAGTTTCTCTGTGTAAAGACTGCCCTTCCCTTCTGCAAGTCCATTCTGGGCCCAAAGGTCTTCAGTCCAAGGCTTGAGATTGTATAAGAGCTTGGGATTGTTTTCTTACAGATACTCGGATTACACCTTTTATCAAAAAGGGTGAGAATCTTGATAATTAAGTGCTATCACTTTTTATAGCTGGGGAAAAAATCTTGGCAGGACACAGGAATGTGTAATGATGCTGGCTTTTAAAATCATTGCCAGGCAAAGGGTAACTTCTATGTGTTTTTAAAAGAAATAAACCATACAGCAAGGTGGCAATTTAATTAAGCTGTCTTGTGTGTTTTCTCTGAAACCTAGTAGGCTTATTAGCTTTTCTGTTAACAGCAACATGAATAGGGGATCTCTTCTCTTACTAGCCAGCTATCTGCATTGCAGTTTATGGAAATGCATTATGGCAAAAACTGCTACCATGCTATTAAATTCGGGGTTGCAGATCACTAATGCAGGAACAGATGTGCACAAACACACACACAGAGAGCACTGTCATATCAGCCTTATTTCCCTTTAGAGAAGCAGACATCTTTCAAATGGCTTCAGGAGAAGTTTTCTACTTAATGAATTTGCTTAACTGGAAAAATGAGATTTTATAGTATGGATAGAAACCTACAGAATATAGGAAATGGCTGTAATGATATCAGACCAGCCCCAGGACTCCATTCAGAATAGCATCACACTAAAGTCCAACATCTGTATCATTTTTCTGGTGTTCCAGGTTTGTGGCTACTGAATACAACATAGATAAGTTGAGAGGATTCAATGATATATTTTCTGGAGAACAAAAGAAAAAAAAAAAATTGCACAGAGACCTGTCACTGTTTTGTCAAGCTTTTCCATACCTCTGTACATCATGGAGCTCACAGTAGTACATTACAAGTACATTGTAAGACTTCTTACTTTGGAAGTAGTTAGTTACAATGCACAGCAAAAAGGGGCCCAAAGGTCAGAGTCTAGATACTATTAACATCATCCTCATCTTAATCACCATGATTCAGGATAAGACCAAGTTAGTAATAAGGTGAATTGTTTTTAGTGCTATTCCTAAGAATAAAAATAATGGTCTGCAAAATCAATATCCACATTCCATCTACTACTCAGCCTTCCCAAAAGACACTGCAAATTACAGGGTAGAGGCAAGTAGTAACGTGCAAGGCCATTCAACCTGGAGCAATTCAAACTATCAGATACTGCTCTTAGAGATCAGCAGAAATTGCTTGTACCAGCAGTTCTTATCTATCGAAAAGAGAACACAGCATGAATCTTGTTCCTTTCTGATCACTATTTTTCATGTATTTTTCACTTTTTTGCAAAGGTGGTGATTGTATAACCCTGGAGACTGAAGTGACCAGTTTGTCCACACAGAGCATGAGCAATGGCAGAGCAACTTTGCTGCACTGGCACCATCACTGACATCGCAAAGCACCACCGGGGGGAACAAGGGTTTACATTTATCTTTGCTAGCATGCCTTTCAGAACTTGTTACAGACTCCCGTTCACTCTTCTTCAAATAAGCAATCATGAAGTAGTACAGAACCAGACCTCACAGGAGATAGCTGGAGAAACTGCCTAGGGAGCAGGGGGACTGTGGAGAGTTTGCTGAAACTCATAAAGCCACTGAACCTGATGGTACTAAACCTGAAGGCAAGAACCTGCAAAGACACACTGGGCAGGAGAGAGCAGGACAGAGGTCTATTTTATGTGTCACTTCTGATCTAATCACTTTGAACCTTCTTCATGTACAAAGTAAATCTTTCCAGCTTCAGGAAAGCCTAATCTCCGAGTGTAAAAGCCTTTCAGATTTTGAAAGGACCTTTGATTAAAGAAGAGCCACCTCAAAGCTTACCATCCCAGTAAGTTTACATTTACATTACATGGCAAGAGAAAACAGACTCCTACAGAGGGGAAATGATTTGTTGAAAATCAGAGAGCAGACTAGTCCTGGAGCCAAGGGAAAATAAAGTCCTCTGACTTCCAGGTGGGGCTTCTCTTTTCTGGCCTTAGACAGTCTCTGGTCTTTGACCAGAGGAGTTGTATCGAAATCCTGCTACATCTACAGATTGATTTACAGTGGTCTCAGGTGTGGCCCAGTGTTTCTAAAATCATATCTTTAAGAAGGTCTTAAAATCTGGGAGGGAAAATTAGATACTGATGAATCTGCACTTTATAAAATCTGACTTGAAGGTCAAAACCCACCTGCAATAATTTCATCCCACCAGATTGTCACATAGTCATCCCGGTCCATCCTCGACTGCTCATGGTAAAATCCTAAAGCATGCAGGATCTCATGTTCCACAATTGCTCTGTAGTCACACCCTGCCCCAATAGAGAGGGTCTGTCCAGTCTGCAGGTCCCCCACCATGGACCAACACCTGAGAAAGAGAGTGATCTTACTGTCTGTTAAGTAGAGTTTTCTTCTCTCTCTTTAAGTTCTCAGTCTGCTCACTGGCTTTAAAGTAATATCAAAAAAGGTTTAAATATAAAAGGAGTAACATAAATCATTATTTAGATGCTGACCAGATGCCTTGATGCTCTACAAATACTCTACTCTGAAAGCATACTAAGACCCAAAAACATACACGCTATCACTTGCATGAGGCCAGCATTTTACTTACCCTCTACATTAGACAAGCTCATCCCTGATTTTTTATATCCACAGAAGTTTAGTTCTATATCAGATGCCATTTTGGCAAGAAATGTGCCAAGAAACATAGTAGATACAGAGAAGCAGTAAACTCATCAAGACAGACTGATCTTTTTTGCAATCACTTGGAATAGAGAAAAGATCGAGGAGCATTTAGAATAGCAGCATTTGGTGGTTTTTAACGCAACTATGCAATGCATTGGCCATAGGTGTGAAATTATATTTTTCTGTGAAGGCCCATCTCCTCATCCATGACTCAGCAGAAGCTGATGATGACTGAGGAGGGAAAGAGCTCCTCAGGCAATTCACTGGCAAATTTTGGGGTAGCCTGAGGGTGATGTGAGAGGCAACTGCTAAAGAGGATCTGCTTGGGCTGTAGCTTCATTTGCACATCACAAAGCAGTGGGTCGAGTTTGTTGAAGGAGCCCTGAACACACTAATGTGGGTACTGAAAACAAAGAGCTTGGGTATGGTCTTTTGAATAGCTGCTACCAGGGAGTTTCCAGTACCAGGCTCTTCAGCACCAACTTGTCAAATATCATGGTGCTTGCAGTCTTGTAAGAGAAGTGTCATGGGACATTACCCAAGGAAGAGCTGAGAGCAGACATATCAATGCCTATAGGCCTTTATGAAGTTCTGGGAAAGTGAGAAATATTCACAGCTGATACAGTGAGAAGATTGTTGTGCTTTTTTAGATGTTCTTTCAAAACATGTTTAGATGTAGGAAATAAAATAAATCTTTCCAGTTCCTGAAAACCAGAATCTCTGAGTATAAAACCCTTTCAGATTTTGAGAGGACCTTTCATTAAAGAAGAGCCATGTCAAAACAATAGCAATATTACAATAAACTGGCTTTCCACAGCTTTTTTTGACCTGTCTTCCAAAGATTTCAAAACCTAAATTCTGGCTATTCACATCCTTGCTAAGTTAAGAGGATGTACATGAGGGTTGTTTCACCCACCACTGAAATGGAAAACAACCCTAGATAGGAAAATGGAAGCAGCTGATGAAAACCCAGCAATGCTGGGATTCATCTCATCAAAGAGTAACCATCCAAACATCAGATGCCTATTCCAAACTCATCATCTAAATATCCTCTGCACTCAGTAGAGGGAGGCAGCTGCTTGCAAGCTTTGTGTCTATGAAGGTAAGATGGGCTGCTTTGTCGGTGGCCTCTTTTTTTCTGCTAACAAACTTAGACTAAACTTTTCGACTGCTGAAGTCAAATGGAATGAATTCCCAGCTGATTCTACACAGCAAAAATAAACAGAAATTGATATAACCCTTACCCGGTTTCTTTTTTAAAGAATATGTAGGTTCTCTCTCCTTCATATGGCTTGAAATCAATGCAAGACTTAAGACGGAACATTTCAAATGCCTGGAGAATTACTCCTTTGGCATTCAGATCTGGAAAACATGCATCAGGAAAGCACCTTTAACACATTGCAGATCATTCACCTGGAGAGGTAAGGTATGCACAAAGACATACACATGGGACCAAAAGAAAAATGATTGGAAAAAAAAATTACTGAATTTGATTAAATTGTGTTTTTTTAATGATAGCTGTAGAAGAAAAAAAATGTTTTTGATATAAAGAAGCTGTCTAGTTGTTAGTGAATTTTAATGTGAGAGAACCAGTTCTGAAAAAGGCAAATTTTTTATCACAGTGACTGTAGTGCAAATAAGGATTGGAGCTAAAATCTGAATAAAGTATCATCTGCATTACCTAGGTTATCACCCAGAATATAGGGAATGGGGAACTTCCATCTGTAGATCTCATTTCTTAGGGCATTTCGCTGATTTTTCTGAAAAGGGAATTAACAGCTGGTGATGCATCTGCTGTGGGGACATGGGCTGATTTGTACCAAAAATACAATTAGGACAAGTGATAGATATAAAGTTTTTAATTACTTACAGGGAGCATGATATCACCCTGGAAGAGGTCCAGTCCAGCAGCTGAAAAGTAATTTAATGAAAGATAATGTAAATGAAATATCAAATATCGAATGTATTTCACCTCATAAACCATATTGAGCTTATTTATACAAAATTAATGTCCTTAGGCATTTACAGAAAATAAAGAAGGACCAGCCTCTTTACACTGAAATATGGGGACAGGCCTGAAGGTAACAGCTATTTCTACTCAATATTTACTATTCAGCAATGTCTGCATTTTTGGTGACAGAAATCTGGTGGCCATCATTATCAAAGTCTACTTTGATAACCTCTTGCTTGCTATCAGGCAGTGGCAATAGTCACACAGTGAGACAGTGCTCTAGAGAATATAATAATATTGAGTAATGCATCAGGAAGAATATTGTACAGTGCACCATCAAAGGATATATGGAAATTTGCATTACAGGGAATAAAAAAAAAATAGAGGAAGACAGTACAGTGTGTTGTGTCTTTTCCATTTGATTTCCTTACCACTTACGTAGCTCAATAAACATCTAAGCTATTTTATACTTTGTAAAACTTTATAAAAATCATATTGAGGTGGGGGGGAAATGCTGGTGGGACTCCAGAGCCTTTCCGATTGATACAGCGTGTTACTGCCTTAACATGGTGGGTTTGTCCAAACTTCAGAAGTGAAAGACATCTGCATCCCTTGTTTACATAGGGTTACAGTCCTAGGATAGATTAATGTGTCATAGCCAGAAGAGGGTAATTCAGAGCTCACTTAATTATATTTCTCTTGTTACCATGAACTACCTGACCATCAGTCACTCACATCTTTTTTACAATACTGAAAACACATCATTTTGCTCACTATTTTTCAGGCCTTATGAGAATTTAGACATGAACTCACCTAAGTTTATGTCTGGAATGTCTTTGATTATCTCACCAGCATCATCTTCCGCTGCTGCAAGACAGACAAAACATTATGTTCACATGTGGTGGCACACAGCAAGCAGAAGAAAATGCTTCAAAACTCAAAACAGCACACAGAGCACTTACCAGCTTCACTGGAGAGGTGCCCGACCTGAAAGAGAATAAAATACAACCAGTATAAGGTATGAGATGTCTCTGGACTGAGAGGAGCCTGTAGAAATCAGATTTCTACTTACAGAGGCTGGAGTACCATAAACATAACAGAATAGAAGTGCTAGGCAGAGTGGGAAGATGCTGGAGCCCATTTTTGCGATGGAAAAAGAAGCTGGTCCCTCTCATCTCTTGCAATATATAGGGCATGCTGCTGAGCTTTCCACAGAACATCAGCCAACCAGCTTTGAACTTTCCACCTTCGTAACACTATTATAACAGCAAAATTTTCCTCCTAAATGGCACATGATGGCATTGTTGTTATCAATTACCTAAGTCCACTTTGGAGGAATGTTACAGAGAGGAATGTGATAACTTCACGTCTTCAGTGCAGCTGGTGAAAGGCCTACCCAGACTTTGTGTAAGATCTCAATCTGGCGAAAAGTTGCTGACTCCTTCCACTGTGCTTGTTAACTGTCAGCATTATGATCTCAGCTGCACAGGAGGAAAGCCACATGCTTAAGCAGAATTATTCTGGGTTTATAGCACTCCAGCGATATTAGATTTTGTCCCAGTGCTGTTCTCAATTAATAATTAACATCACATTGTAAAGATTAGAGATAAAAGAGATATGATTATGAATGCCCTGACAGTGTTTTCCCACAGCTGATGCCACCCCAGGACCAATGCCCTAGTGTACAACAGGCCACCCTCTGCCTCCAGAGACGGTCACATAGGTCAGTAGATCCTTGGCCTTCCAGCTTGATGCTCCTTTCTTTTCTGGTGGGTTTCAGAGATGAAAAACTCTTGTCCTGCACTTTGCTCTCATCTTTCTCAGGGGACATGGGTCAGGGAAGGCACGTGGGCTACCTGAGCCAAGGCTCCAGAAAGCTCTAAATCTCCCACAGGTCCTGCATCATATCTGTTATCCCCTTGCAAATGTCCCATGTGCCCTGGAGTGTCTCAGTGCCTTAAACTTAGGCAATTGAATCCTGATCCCTCATTTCATATCTGAAATTAGAAGCGATGAAGGTGAGGATGTCCGCCTCTCTGTTCAGCAATTAGGTAGGAAAAGGCTTGTACCACAGACTCTGCCGCTCACACCACAACACAGAGGGCTTGAGTAGGAAAAGAAGAAAAAGTGCTCTGGAGGTGCTGCACACACTGCTTCCCAGCAGTATTGGTGGGAGACACTGGACTTCAGTGTGAAGAAGCCTCGAATGCAAGTAGGTTTTGAGTAGGAAATGTGCCTGTGTAGAGTGACTACCCTGTCCTAGAAAGGAGTCAGTCCTGCAACCTAAGCAACATATTTTCCTCCAAACAGATAAAAGTAGGAAGCTATTTGTACGAGATCATATTGCAGAGGAATAAGTACAGGGATCTTATCTTGAGAAGAAGGGCCCTAGAGGACTGATCTTTCACCTAGCATACAGGCAGGTCATCTTCAACACCTGCTTTTATGAACTATTATTTCAAAGGACACTAATACCTAAGCAGAATAGGGCACACTACTAGTAAAAGAGAAGAATGTCTCAAAATACATCATGTAAAGGCTGTTTTCACAGGGGGGCAAAGTGAGTCAAAACACAGCACAAAGGCAATCATTTGCAGACATGTAGCAGTGGATGTGAGAAAGGAACAAAAAACTGAAGCAAAACCAGAGTAGTCTGAAAAACACTTGCTTTTTAGTCCCCTTACCTTAAGAATTGCCCAAGAAACTAAAGAGGATGTCTGAAGATAAGTCTTTCTGTAAGCATATATTTGAGTTTGTAGAGGACAATGATTATGCAGCCATCTCATGTTATACTAATGCAATTTAATATATTCATTTAGCACCTTGCACAATCTACGTGTCCCCAAATGCATCCTGTATTCAGTTCATGTGGCAAGGTTTTGGTAGCAGGGGGGCTACGGTGTGGATTCTGTGAGAAAACACCAGAAGTTGTCCCCATGTTGGACGCAGCCTGTTTCAGCTGGTTCTAAGATGCACCCGCTGCTGGCCAAGGTCGAGCCATCAGTGATGGTGGTAGCACCTGGGATATTTAAGAAAGGGGAAAAACTACTGTGGAATAGCAGCTGGAGAGAGGAGTGAGAACATGTGAGAGCACCAGCCCTGCAGACCCCCAGGTCAGTGCAGAAGGAGGGTGAGGAGATGCTCCAGGTGCCGGAGCAGAGATTCCCTGGCAGCACATGGTGATGAAGACCACGGTGAGGCAGGCTGTCCCCCTGCAGCCCAGGGAGGTCCACGGTGGAGCAGATCTCCACCTGTAGCCCGGGGAGGACCCCACGCCGGAGCAGGGGGATGTGCCCCAAAGAAAGTTGTGACCCCATGGAGACCCCACACTGGAGCAGGCTCCTGGCAGGACCTATAATGTTGAACTGGGTCCAGTCTCAGATGAAGGTAGGGAAGCATGCAATTCTTCTACCAGTGACCTAACAAGATGAATACCTGGCAGTGAGCATTATCAAAAGCTGGGCTTGAAGAAGTGATAACGGCCATGGGGAGAAAAGGGAAGTCCTGGAACAGGATCCTGGAAAGTCAAGCACTGGTTCTTCTGGCTAGGGAAGGCTGCACAGAGAGACTTCAGACGTAAGAGCTGGGAAGTAAGCATTGCCATCAGCGAAGATAAACGAAAGGAATGAAACATGGGAATTAAAAAGACGATATAACTAAGAGAAGCACTTTGCTGCTTGGGCCAAAATAATCTTTGGAGGGTCTATGGGTTTAGGCTCTTAAAACTAACAGGGAACCTTAGTTCAAATTCTTAAAATACAGAAAACACGGAATACGGTTTCTTTAGTGAAGTAATATATTTTATCTATCATGGATGACTGTTCGCACTTGTAGTGAAGAGGTTGAGGGCACTTCATGGACGGACTGGGACTTCAGATGTAATCAAAGGGGTGAGATCTGCAGGAAAAGACAAAAAGTAATTAATTTAATACATGGAGCATATAGTACAGTTCTATTGTGTAATTTGGGATGACTTTCAGGCTGATTCCAGGAACAAGAAACGAAGCAACAATAATTCACCCAAATATCTCTAGAGGCTGCAGCAGTACCCAGCGAAGGAGGTGAGGGGGGGAAACTGGAAGGGCAGCGAGCTGCATGCATGCACGGTACTCCAGTCTGCGTCTTTCTCAGCCCCAGCCAGGGATCCTGGGACTACTGAGCTGGAGGGAGACTGGGGCGAGAGAGTAGAGGGCTTGGGTCAGAGGTGGTCTGAAACAGGGCTGGGAGGTGAAGAGAGAGGGGGAAAGGCTTGTGGAGAAGTGGGAGGCATGGGGCAGACCCTCAGCGGTTATACAGAGACAACATCCAACTTTCATCAGAGGGCAATGTAACACTGCCCCGGAGTTTTTAGGCACCCTGGTATCAAAATGAATATTCAAATGCAGAGACTGGAACCTTATAAATGTGACTGCATTAGATTTAATATCTAGAAATTAAGCTGAACCCGTTTATAACTGGAGACTAAATGCAGTCTCCTAACAAGTCTTTCAATTTCTTAACTACAATTTCACCTAGCAGCTGCAAATGTTTTTGGGACCGCTGGCACCCATATAACACAGCGGGACTGAATTTCCCCCAGTGAATTACTGCCGGTACAAAGTGCTGTCAGGGAAAGCACAAAGAGGCCTCAGCTACTTTTCTTATGGCTAAAGGGGATTTGGAAGTGTTGCCAAATGCCCTACATAACCTGCAGAAAAGCTGGGCCATTCTGTATGCCAGAAACGTAGACTGGTCTTTGCATTTTTGTTAGGCAGCACACATTCATGGTTAAGCATTCATGGGAAGCGGCTTTCCCACCTTGCAAAAGTTCTTGCCATTTCAAAAGTTTCTCCATTCTCTGCTGGAATGAAAACGAGAACTTTGCATTTTTGTTTCATGAAGAGCAAGGGAGAAATCCTTCTGCCAGGAGAGTTCACAGCCTGGTGTTCTCAGCCCTCAGTCGTGTGGAGTGAGTCTGGATTATCACAGGGTACTCTCAACTATCTGAGACAAGTGCTCTGACCTCTGTACTAGGGTCGGGTCTGATTTAATGATTATTTACTTATACAAAGTGTTTCCACTTTCCAGGCACTGACATTTTCCAAAGGAAACCCACTTCAGAAGGGTGATAGGATTCATCTCACCCACCATTAGTCATCAGGGATGGATTCCTTTGCAGCCGGTGGAGATCAGCACATCAGAAGAGCAGTTCATCACAACTATAATGGAATGGGATCAGCTGCTCCCCAGAGGTACCCGTTGCTCTCAAATGACCCCCTCAAAGGAGTCCAGAAAGTTCATTTTTGGACACCTAACATGAGGTAAGATGAACACGGCCATCTGAAACGTGGCTGTCACAGAGGATGGGCATGCACAGTCCCTTTGGCCTGCTCAGAGGGATACCTGCCTGCCAGGCTGCCCTCTGCACCAGACAGCGCTTCTTCTCTCTCTTCCCCTTCCCTGCTGCCTTTGGCAGAGCAGAGCGGCCGCACATGGTCCTGACAAAAATTGCGACCTCAGGAGAGAAGCTTTGGATCAAAAACTCCTTCTGCCAGTTTTTCAAGGTCTGAAAAGAACCCCTTCATTTTCAAACCACAATTTTCTTAAGCTGGAGGTGATATAGGGGTGGTGGCAATTGGGGACACCATTAAGTAGACTGATCTTCAATACATGGAAGTATAATCTGTCCTGAAAAATCTGATTTTCAGGGACCAGAGAATCAAGGTCATCCACAGCGTTTCCTATTGGGTATTCAAAAATCCAGACACCTGAAATCACCAGGCACTTAAAAACCATGTTCCTGAAATAGATTACTCTCTAGATGTTTGCTAATCACCCTCATCTTTTGTGCTTTCCTTACAAACAGAAGAGTATGTACCTGCTCTGTTCTGGTGGGGATTCTGATATTATAATACTCTACCTTCAAAATCAGCAAAGATGAAAAGACTGTCATTTTTAAGGAATTTTTTCCAGTGCAGCTCCCTGTGGGTCAGGAATGTATTCCAGCCAACACCTGGGCTGATGTAGCAGTTGCAGAAAGAAGAAAAATTTCCAGTGACAGATGGCTTGTCCCACTGCAGGGTGTCATTTCTGCCTGTTGTGTAAAAATATAGAAGTAATTAAAGCTGATCTCCAGTCAGCCAAGTAGTGTTACATGCAGAG